ATTACTGTAATTTAATTACATATGTACTATAAAAGAATGTATACCTTTAAATTTAATATGGTTATTTTAATGATATTATTCATTGCTCAAATATAGTCTACACTAGCCTGTCACTATGTGAAATAAAATTGGTATGAATTTATTTATCATACCTTGGACTTTAAATACAAATAGACCTAATAACAACATAATATTTTTATTTTAGAATTCTTCATGCCACATGTTTAGCAAGTCTTTGGTTTATGAATGTATGACCATCTTCCAAGACATAAACAGGAATGTTTCAACTGTTCATCAATCTCTTTACAGTTCTTTGTATTTACTTGCATATTTATGTTTGCTCAAACAGTGAATGTAATAAGTCATTATAATTATGCCATATCTCTACCTACATGTACTAGAGAGAAAGAGAAATGGGGTTTAACGTCCACTCGACACAAACTAGGTCATTTCGGGACTAACACATGGTTCAATTTTTTATTTCAATAATTTGCTTGCACGTAGGGGTCTTTAGCAGTGGGAGGAAACCGGAGGACACAGAGAAAACCAACGAGGTTGTGCAGACGACCCTACTCCTTGTCACGTACAACCGGGGAATCGAACCCCGCCAGTTGACTCAATGACAGACCGTGTGATACAACGCGCACATGTGCTAACCATACGGCCATCCAATCCCCTACATGTACTAAGCAAGAGCTATTTGTAGTTATTTATGTAGATTTCTACTCTACCGTACATGTATAACTTATTTGCAACACAGATGAAATTCTACAAAGGAAGATGGAACATTATGTATACATTAGGTAAGAGCTAAATCTGCCTATTGCAAGTCTCTTTCTTTAGACTTCAGATGTTATAGAAATTATTAATCAGACCTTTACATGACAAGCTCAAAATGAACTCTGTAGACCCTTGGATGGCTTGGATTTAAACAGTCATCCATTTAATAATTAAATCAATAAATGGCTGACCAAGCTAAGCTTGTTTTCAGATCCCACAATTATATAGTGTACTTTTATAATATGTAAATATTTATTGAATAAATAGTGTCAAAAAAAAAAAGCCCTGCCAATCGAGAATATGTGGGTGGAGTTATCGTCTGTCAATCAAACGATCGGCCAATCTGATTAAAATACAGATCTATATTTCAATTCGTTTTTAATACAATCGATGGCCTACACTACATGAAGTAAAGGTTGTGTCAGCGTTGGTGTTTCTAGTGGTTTACCCATAGTTTGGTACATGGCACGCCAAGAAGTCGCTGTAACAGACCGTTTCATTGGCTTATCTCTTACTTCAAGCAGAACACCGGTAATATAACAACTCTTCCAGACCCTAGTGTAGTAAAGACAAGTAAAACGAAATTGTGAACTATAAAAAGATAGGTTGCCAGGCAACAAAACATACGCCCACAGCAGCTAAATCGTCCGGGCAGTCAACAAGTGTTGTCGCATATTTTTACTTTTTTCCGTAATGAAACATTTATAATACACTAAAATCTGATTAAGAGTAACAACTCATGAAATAATTATCAGAAAACCATTAGAATTTGCTTGGTTTTTATAAAGTTCTGCCCCATGCTAAGGTTTAGTATACAAAACTTTTAATATCATGGATTTAGCTGTTCAAGTCATAAAAATTTACTTGTTCGTATCAAGATGTTAAACTCTGTGTATCAATCTGAAGTCAATTGAATGATAACTTTAGCCTCTAGAGCGTCACAAGATTTTTCAAAGTGATCAAGGGCCATAACTTTGGCGGTAATTATTGTAAATTGCTGAAAATCAACAGGCTTCTTCATCTCATGACCTTAAGCACTGTGTATAAATTTCAAGTCAATCGGATATTAACTTTGGCCTCTAGAGCGTCCACAAGATTTTTTTAAGTGATCAAGGGCTATCACTCTGGCAGTAATTATCGGAAATCGCTGAAAATCAATAGGATTCTTCATCTCATGGCCTTAAACACTGTATATAAATTTAAAGACAATCAGATATTAACTTTAGCCTCTAGAGCGTCCACAAGCAACTGTGGACGACGGACGGGGGCGACATCAATATATACGTGGGCGGATAAAAACAAAATAGGATCTGTGTTTTAATCAGATTGACAATCGGAAATTCTCAGAGACGGTGACTAATTCATTCAGACTAAAGAAATTTTACTGAAATTTTTAATATTTTCTTCTTTCATCATCTATTTTTGAATTATTATAGCAAAAATAGCCAACTCTTTATTAAACTCTTAAAAACTAATGTGTCTTTAATATATTATAAGTTCTTTATTTTATGACCAGTTTAAAGTAAAAGTAATCGAACTGATTCGGTAAAGGGAAGACATTAAAAACAAAGAATTACAGGTTTTAACTATGTTTTGAAATTATGAAGCCAAGTGCATACTGTTAGTCAGCACATTGATTAAATTATTTGAATCATTTTGATGTTTATCATAATGTCACATGTTACTTTAATAAATGCCATTTACTAACAAAATACACATTATCTACACCACCATTTAATTGATTAAATCTCAGCAACATTTTTAGACTTTCCTTAAATAAATTAAGAGTACAAAATTAAATTAAGAGATAATATAAAACTTAATTAAAATCTGCTCAAATGCCTTTGTTTCTTTCTCAGTAGTTTAGTCAAAGAAAATCTTAAAGAAAATCTATTTCAATAAATCATAATGCCTAAAGGCTGCACTTTAAACAATAAAACTTACAAAAAAGTAGTTAGATTTTCATGTAGTATAGACCAACAAAAACAATCATAACAATGTAATCTAATTTTAACTAGATCTGTCAGTTTTGCTACTGCACTAAGAAATGTACCAAGCAATTAAGAATCTAAATTGAAACAAGAAATGATTTGGAAAGAAGTTGGACAAATTTCAGTTCTTATTTCAGAATAAATGAAGTATATTAATTCAGGTTTAATGTCCTACTGTTGTGCTTCAACTAGGATAATGTTCAGAATAAGTGAAATAGGGTTCAAAGTCCTACTGTTCTGCGACAACCAGTATAATCTTTAGAATAAATGCAGACAAGGCTACCAAATTAAACAATGAAGCCATGGTACAAATTCTAATCAAGAGACTGGGATCTGTCTGAAATCTTTTGATAAGACAAAGCTGTAGTTTACTTTTTATCATCTGTCTAGAAGATCTTCAATGTAACTGTTAATATATTATTTGAAATATAGTCATCGTTTTGTACTAGACTGATATAAACCTTTGTCTGGAAAGTAACATAGCTTTACAGAAATTGTTCATTTATTTCAAACAAAATATTTTCATCAATGGTGTACTAAGGAATCAGAAGATGTCTCATATCATGATCAAGCCTGGACACAATTTATCACATACAAATACAATGTTTTTATTATGATAGATAAGTTCTGTTATAATGTGTGTTTGACAAAGTCTGTAACAGATGCCTTATGTCCAGGCTTATATATATATATGTATGTTGTGTGATAATTTGTACTTGACAAAGTCTGTGACAGATGCCTTATCTTCATCATAGTACTGTTAATATGATCATTTTGTGTCCTTTGACAACAATTTCTATACAGATTGAAACAATTTCTATACAGATTGAATCTGAAACATGCCACTAATTAATGTGAATGGTGATTCAAGCAAGTGAAAAGAGACTACTGGTATTTTCCATACAAAATTGAATAACCAACTGCACAATTTTGGTAAAATCTTGGCGGCATATTCCACCATTGGACAAAAGGTATTGTTCTTATTATGGAATCATAAAGTAATAACTATGAAACCAAATAAAATTCATACAGAGAGAGAGAGAGAGAGAGAGAGAGATGGGGTTTAACGTCCACTTGACACAAACTAGGCCATTTCAGGACTAACATATGGTTCAATTTTAGGGTTCATTAGCAGTGGGAGGAAATCAGAGGACCCGGAGAAATACCATGAGGTGGGACGGCAACCTTACTTCTTGTCACGTAACTCAAGTACAACTGGGGAATTGAAACCATGCCAGTTGACTCAATGATAGACCTTATGATACAGCGCGCACGTGCTAACTATTTGGCCATCCAATCCTCCTCATAGTCTCATACAGAACAAAGTATTAATAATATACATAAGGACTGCATGCATACTAGACATGAATATCTAATTTTCTATTTGATTCTTGCACTGCAAGAACTTAAACATGCATTTGATTTTTCAAAAAGGTTTCTTTCAAAGAATCAATCTGATCAAAATACAGATCTATATTTCGTTTTCTTTTTTTATACTTTCGTTGGCCTACACTACATGAAGATCTGACAAGATGTCCTCATAGGTCGTGTCAGGGGTCGTATGAGCAGGTTTTGACCCAATGACGTCTGACATTGATCAATCAATCAGCGTTGACGTTTTTAGTGGTTTATCCACAGTTCCATGCATGGCACGCCAAGAAGTCACTGTAACAGACCGTTTCATTGGCTTATCCCTCACTTCAAGCAGAACACTGGTAATATTACAACTCTTCCAGGTCCTAGTGTAGTGAAGACAAGTAAAATGAAATTTTGAACTATAAAAAACGAAATAGGATCTGTGTTTTAATCAGATTGTCAAAGAATTGAGTAAGACAGTTCTTTTAAAAGTAAGACTAAGATCATAGATTGTACATTAACAATCAAATGATTTAGAAACAGATTGCTCAAGTTCTCTTTAACAAGATAATCACAAAGGAAACTTTATATAATGTGATTAAGTGAACACTGCTCAATTTAACTGTTGTAAAAACCCAGCCATTATAACAAAGAAACTTGAGATTCCTAATCCTGTTAAAATACCTGTACTATTAAACATAGATTAACACCAAAACTAATCAAGCCACTTTCTTTCTCTCTCCCTTCTTTAAGTGGGTTAAGTTTTTCAGCTGTGTCATTTAATAACAGATAATTAACAAACTGTTTTGTATTCTTAAAAGATCACAAAAAAATAAACAAGTGCATATTGTTTTAATGTATGGTAATTGGTACCTTGAAAATGAAATGTTTTTTGATCAACTGTGATTGTGAATGTACTGTCATCTTCATCATCAATACCAATAACTGCCCCCTAAAATAATAAATTTGTGAATTGATTCAGTATCTTTACTTTTACTATATTACTGATTCATAATCTGTTCTGGTTCCAGTACTGCACATGTATACATTGTATAACTACCAAAAGAAAACAACGAACTATTTTTTTTTAAAATGTCCTGGTCTGTAAGACAGATCCTGCAATCGGTCTAACAGTATAGAATATTATAAATAGAAAGTAACATCTACAGACTTAACTGAATGGACATGATGCATACCTTTAATATGACACAGCCTCTTCTCGTTCCTCTCATCATTTTTTCCTTTGACTAGAAAAAATAAAATTAACGAAAAGTGATAACTGGATATGAAAATGAAATCAAAAATAAAATAATTAAGTTCAGTTATTTGAAGTTGTTAGTCGATGCCCAAATTTAATTTATGACCTTATCAACACATCTGGACCCTGTCCCTGATAGTAGTGACACAACAATATTATGTGACAGATGAGGTGTCTTAGCTGTACTCATCATTACTATTACTACTATTAGTAGTTAGGAAATAGAAATAAGAATAGATTAGAATTATTAGATAGGCCATAGCCGCCATAGGGAGGTTTGTTTCCCCGATGTCTCCAAATCTTCCAACCCACAAAGTGTATCTTGTTTTATAAACACAACATTATGTTCATAGTTGTGACTGTTCATTTTTGTACAAATTTAATTTCATGCATCCTGAACATCGAAATGCCTGTTACATAGTGGGCGTGACTAAAATCTCTTCTATCAATGACAATAAGTCTGAAGAAATCAAAATTAGAATAGCAGACAACATTTTGCCGGTGTTTATTACTAAAGTTTCTCGCCTTAAGGCCTGGTAAATAGGATTAGACTGATTGTAGAATAAACACGTACGGTGTAGTAAGACAATAAGCCCGAATTGTCGTCTAAAACAAACCACCGATACTGCCATCCTTTCATTACATTTGTCCATTTACTCAAAGGCCCTTCCATGGTCGCCATATTGCTAAAATAGCGGAAGTGTGGCACCTTTCAATTATCCAATCAATAATGAGTACAAGTTTGAGCTGAGCCAATCAAACGAAAGAGGGGGTTTTAAACAGCAGACAGCGTCATGGCATCAGTTGTTAGCAGGTGCCCGTAGTACTAGTGTATGTGATGTAGACCTGTGGATTTTACTAAATATCAACAGATAACATTATTATGGAGAAGAGATCAAGTTCGGATACTGACGTGTATATGGGACCATATAGAGCGACAAAACTTGTAAGCAAGATCTTTTTTTTAAAATTTTCTTTAATTCTTATCGACAGTGATAAGTTCATATTCAATGTTGTTTGCTGATCTATTTTATGTGTTGTGTTTACGGTTTACACGCATTGAAGTTGAACAAAGTAATACATTTTATTTTATATTGAGATATAACGGTGTTGTTTATTTAAATATAATCACCGTACCTGAAATTACAGTTTAGGATCTGCTCTAAATAATTGAGCTTGTAAATTTATTTGTTAATTTGAGCTGTTACTGTAGTAGTGGCCAGAAAACTTATAATTATTATAAAGGTAGATATAAAGAATAGCTTACTATAATCATTACTGTTCAATATTAAGGAATACGCCTTTGCTTTCCAAAGATCAGAATGGTATATCCAGACAACTCTGACCAAAAAAGGCTGCTGGGTCTGTAATCCGAATGGTCATGCATTCAATAAGAATTATTAAGATTTGAAATCTGATTCAGTTGTGTATAGCCGAGTATTATCTATGATAAGAAATACTAAATCACAATTGAGTATAACACTAACAGAAATACTAATACACAATTGAGTATAGTATAGAAATACTAATTGAGTACCGTTGATCTGTTTTTACAGTGGTCAGTAATTATTAGGCCTACATGTATTTCCAGAAAACTGTTGGTTTTTTTTTTAAAATTCTGTAGGCTTTGATGTTGAACTTGATGTGGCATTAGCACTTTATGTTATGTACATACATTATCATATAATGTAGGTAAAGAATGAATTTACACTTTTGGTGTGGATTAACAACAAGCACCTGGTAGCACAAAGTTTTGGTCACCCGACCTTGCAGGCTCCACAAAAACAACGGTTCAGACTACATAATAATATTAATAACGAGGTTTCAGACAATAATAAATAATGACTAAATACAAACTTTGTCGCAGGATCAGAATGTCAGGTAATCGGTTACCCCAGTTAAATCTCTAAGCCAATTGGTGAGATATAAACGTTTTTAAGTGAAACTGTCATTAGGACCTGGTTTTCAAGGAAGTCAATTAATTGCTGGGTGCAAAATACTATACAAAGTACATGTACATGTTGATCAAAATGCTTGTATTTTTCGGTAGTTAGGAAAGTCATTCAGAAGGTTAATTTGAATATATATTATGTGTGATTTATTCCCCTTTTGCAGTGGAACGATGTTATTTACACTTTTCGAAATGGCATGCCATGTGGTAAACACAGAAGATATATGAGAACTTATGAAGATTGTTTTGTTGCATCTTGTGCTGTAGAATGGGTACACAACTATATGAAGAATAATCCAAACTTTGGTCAAGAAGTTACCAGGTAATAGACCATTCAATTCAATCTACTTCCATAACATTTATTTTTACTATTGACCTGTATATACATGTATTCTGTGGAAGTTATTGATAATTACTATTAGGAGTGAAAGTTACTTGTCTAGCCCCAAGGGCTTTAGACTAGTCTCAGTTTAAAATTACATTTAATGACTCTTGATTTGGACACAAAATAAAATTGTGGATTTATTAGGATTTTACAGGTTGATTTGTTTTGTCTTCTCAGTGACCTTGAGATAAATGTATAACAGGCATTATTTTTCAAAACTAAACTAAATAGACAAACCTACATGCACTTCCAGTTACATGTACATCACTAATCAAAATAACAAGATCAGATCAACTAAATTTACCATATTTTGACCTAAAACAGAGATTAAACAAACTGCACGGTGACACTTTTTTAAAATAAATTTAGGAGATCAACTGAATTTACCATATTTTGACCTAAATTAAACAAACTGCACAGTGACACATTTTTTTAAAATAAATTTAGGAGATAGTTTTTTTTGTATAATTAGATGGGGTTTTTTGTTAGAGGAACTTTCACACCTGCTGGGATGACATGGGTCATTTTTTGACACATCCTAATTTAATTACTATTCACTAATACATGATTAGAGGCACAGGGCACTTTTATTGTCTCTACTTTAAAAAGGTATTTAAACTAGATTAAACAGTTAAGAGGTGTTCCTCTACTTCATTATCTGATTATCCATAATTACATACATGTAGGGAAGGATTAACCCAGTTTGACACTGTTTGCTAAGATTAAATAATCAGGGTAGCAATGAAGTACATCAACAATGTAGTATTAGCCAACTGGTCTAAATAAAATATTGACCGCACGCATGAGAATATGATTTAAAGTAGCTAGTCTCTAACTCAATATCATCCAAAATCTTCGACATGAAAACACGATTTATTTGTCAGAAAAGATGGCCTTCTGATATCCAATATTTAAGTCAAAATAAACATTTTACAATTGGTACACCAATTGTGTACCATAATGCATTTCAGCGCTATTTGTAATAAGGGACTCGAAAAACGAGGCTAGGCATATTCCACAAGTCATTTCAAACAGTGAAGATATATTCTTATCTGGGGGACATGTCCAATAAATACTATCGGCGTAGACTGGAATAACCAGGCGCTAGAGATTGAAATTTGATTTGAGAATACTGGCGTATTTCGCCGAACTTAAAAAAAACAGAAACGATCGAATGTATACATTCATACATGTACATGTATTACATTATTGTATGCGTTGCGACCCATTTGTGTCAATTTCTAGGTCCCAAATATTAGCGACTTAGCTCCTTTAATATTTAATGTTATTTTGTTTTTAATTGAAAAAAAAAATTGACCTGTACTGTACTTTAATTATATACTTGTAGAGACATCATAAAAGTACTTGAAAGAACATTTATAATATAAAATAGACAGTGACTAAAGACATCCCTGCACATGACATAATTTACTGATAAAAGTACCAGACAATTATTGTATGTCATATAAATAATGCACATGTATAGTGATGAGTGAGCTTATCTGAGCATCCCCCACTGGATTATGTTATTGTTAGTTATTTTATCACTAAAGTCTATACCATGACTATATAATCAATTAATTATCCCAGAAGTAAACATGCTCTTCAAGATCAGTTTAAGATGGATATGGTTCTGACAGAAGACAATAGGATAAAAGACAATAAAACTCGCATTCCATCACTATTTTATGTCTCCAAATGTTTATGTATATGTAGTGTCAGTTCATGTAATAAAATGTAGCCCAGTTTTTATTTGCTGGTTACTGTATATATGTACTTATTTAACAGTGTGGAACAACTGTATATTATTGAAGGTCCACATTCCAGCATTGTGTATTATGTGTACTACATGAAGATATTGTTTTAATATTTATTGATGATTTGCATCTTTTCAACCGATACAATGTAACAATAGAATACAGTTTGTTTACAGACCTAACAATATAAGAAAAATGTTTAATTGATTCAGAACCACTTTTTCAATAATATTGATCTATTCCTGCCAATACAATGTATTGTAGAAGTAATATATTACACATAGTTATGGTACCAATTTTATCTAGTGGAAAACTGGTATAATAAGCTTATAATATATATGTAGGCCGACAGTAGTTTTGTATCAAAATTCTGAGTGAGGTACAAATTAAGGATGTTTAAAAATTATTGAATGGGTTAATTGGTCGTTAAAATCCCAACCGCAACCAGTTAACCAATTTATTCACATTTAATAAAAGATTGATATTACAATATTTGTTGGATCACATGAAAACTTATTAATATTAAAGCTTATCGGTATAGTATAAGTCTTATGTTTTGCAGCGAGTGCTAACAAAACGCTGAGAGGGAATTTAAAGGCCTTAACTTCTCATGACATAATACAAATTACAAATGTGCTTCGTGTACATATGTATATGAAGTATTTATATGGTCTTTAGTGAAAGAAAACAATGTTGTAGCTACCATTTCTGGGTTTGAAGGTCAGGTACATGTATGATATGAAAATAAATATGTAGGTTAGTAATTTTTTGAACCGGTTCACCAGTGCAACCGAATCGTGCCCAGATAACCAGTACATTTACATCCATAGTACAAATGTAGATGTACATGTAGGTGTATTATACCATTGATGTGCAAGAATGAGTACCTGTACATATACTTGTAGCTCATCCGATGAATACACGTAGATTCTAATCTTGGCCATCACTGACATACATGTACATGTACAAATGTATTACACAGAACATCATGAACTATAGTGTTAACAGGTTTTCAGGGTGGGGTGGGATGTGTGTTCTGTTACTGATAATATTGATAGGATTTGTTCTCTCTTCACCTCCAACTCAAACTTCAAACCAAATTTAAAACAATTCGTTGATAATACATAATGCCCTCTATCACGTCGACAAAGTTTTCGGAAAAGGGATATACATAATACATGTACTCTGGAACAGAAGGTTTGAGAGCACCAAGTACCTGTATGGTATCCTCTTGTGGTCCCAATAAAAGAACTTCACTGACTAACAGGAACGATGACATAATATGCCCATACATACAATGTATAAAAAATTCCAGTGAATTGTTTCCATCAATTTCAGTTACATACACATAGTTTTGTAATGAGTTTCCTGGAAAAATATAAATATTATACATGTACGGTTGTGTACCTGTACATGTACATGTACCACCAATATACATATAGCCTGCATGTATAAACCGTTAATATACAAAATAACAGATGTGATGTACATGTAATTACTAAAGTTATACTGATGTTATTCTACATGTACATGTTTATCCAGCAAGAAAAAGATCTTTTGCATTTCAATTTGGTTGCTACATGTATGGTTATACTCAACAATGATATCTTTGATGTACTTGATCTAACTCTATTGATACATAAATGTATAATTGATGTCGTTTACAGTAATTATATCATATAATTGTAGTTCTTACATCAATTTATTAATTCCCATTGTCTTTTCAAGCCTCTTAAACCTTTTTGTATGCATGCCCACAATATTCAACCCTATTTTAATGTGAGTCCCACATTAAAATAGGGTTGAATATTGTAGGGCGTGGTCAACAATTTCTTGTGAAACATTGTACAGACTACTGTAAGATGGATACATCTATCGACTGGTCCTTTTAAATTGTTGTAGGGTAATTATATAGTGAGACATAAATACATGTATCTTGAATTTCAGAGTTATTTACTTAAAAATTGTTATTGTTTTGTAAAATCTTGTTATCTAGTCTGTTTGATACTGGGGGATCACGTGGGTAAGACGCTGGCTCGCTAGCCTGGAGGTCGGGTGTTCGATCCCTGCATTGGCCGAGAAAGTTCATTCAGATTCCTGTGTACACATTGGTGTGCACGTATTAGAGTAAGCCGTAGTGTCGCTGCCCGGGCAAAATTTCCCTCATAGCACACTGTATGGCATATGTCTTCATTAGCCCAGGTTAGGAGCATAACAGTAGGACCTTAAACCCCAATTCATTTCATTTCATTTGTTTGATACTGATGTCTAATGTACTGTACAGTCTTATTCAAATTTATCCAAACCTACAGCCGTACTCAATTTGATTATTTATCATCTTGTCAAGAAAATGAAATCATCCAAATCAAATTAAATTTCCCGATCAATTAAATTTAGTGAAAACATACAACAGACACTGGGATCGATATATCAGAAATTATGTGTAAGTTCAACTTAAGAAGAAGAGAAAAAATTGAAATGGAATTTCAGTTTGCAATACAATTTTTCTATTAAAATAGATTCAGCTTTACAGTATATGTATAACTATAAGGGATTTCAAATCATGCCCATACATGTTTCCATTATAATTAGTGCCGGACAAGGACAGCTGTGTAGTCGTTTGGATAGGATGGAAACCGTGGTCTTGTGTACACATTGGCATACACGTAATAGATTCAAGGCAGTTGGAATTCGATATAACAGTAGACCGTAGCACCGCTGTCTGGGTAAAATTTCCCTCATTACTCATAGCACACTGGAGTGTCTATCTTCATTAGCTCAGTCGGAGCAGAATGTTAAACCCCATTTCATTTCATTTCCATAATATATTTTTTCCGGGTTTACATGTATGAGCCCCTTATTCACAGCTAAATCTTGTCAATGCTCTATTCATAAAAGTTACATGCTTGACAACATGTTTCACACCCTGGCAACCTATGTTTTTATCAGGTTTTTTAGCATTAATTAATTCCAGTTAATAAATTATACAGACATTGATTTACAGTGAATAAATTTTACAGACATTGATTTACCATCAAAAGTTCCTCCCACTGCTAAAGACCCCTAGGCGCAGGCGAATTATGTAAATAAAATTAAACCATATGTTAGTCCCGAAATGACCTACTTTGTGTCGAGTGGATGTTAAACCCCATTTCTCTCTCTCTTTACCATCAAAAATAATCCAATATCTCATTCAACCACGGAGTACATGTGGATTTAGCCATTTCTCTAAAAATATTCACTGAAATAATGACTATATTGTGAAATTTTATATCGCAATTGCCGAAGTATTAATTTCAAATATTTTGCTCTGCTGATAGAAGTAGATTCAGTCAGCTGCATTACCATCATAGTTAAAAATTATTGTAAATGCATAAGGCCTACATGTAGCCCACTATATTTTCATTAGACCAATATACATGTAAGTGTAAAGTATACATTGCAAAGAGGATTGATATAAATGCTAAATTTGTCATGACTACCTGTACCTTAATGCATCTTATTTATGAAAATAGTCACAAGCTTACAGATAGAATTGGCTAATATTGGTATAAGCTGTATTGAATTGTTGGGAATTGATTGGTTTTATAGGTTTATTATTGGACCTTGTAAAACTGAGCTCAGACTTTTGTATCCAATTAATTATTTCTGACTATGTTACAAACAAGCTTTTAGATCTACATTTTATGGATGGTGTTAGCATTCATGAAGCTATTATTTAATATTTATCCTCAAAGAATACTACAAACATGAATACATGTTGAATTCATTCACTTAGAATGAATGATGATAATGTAATAACATGTACATTTGAGATTCCCAATTTATTTATTATTTAATAAAATTCTACTGGTAAAGAACATTATAATGAATTGAATTTTCACATCTGTACATTTTACATGTATCCAGTATGACAATCTAATTTATTTGATAATGCAGGACTCATTATCAGTATTTTGTCTCTCCTTGATCCGGTTTTGTCCCCTTTTTCTTATCATAGCAAGGTTTATTTTCGAAATTAAAATAAAATAAATATAAAAATACAGTAGATGCATTTTAAAAAAGAAACATCTGCTTGAATTTAAAATAGGTGTAGCCACTATCTAGTTCCCTTTAATCTTCAACTTTTTATTATGTGTTATATTTATCCACCATTAATTTAGTCATTTGTCACACACTAAACAGAAAATGGCCAACAGGCTAATTATTTTATTGTCAATGCTCACTAACCATCCCTTATTGACAAATCTATACTATAGACCTAAGGGCATGAGATACATGTATAAAGACTGTATATTAGAAAGCCATCATCTAATCAGTATTGACAGATCAGGTGCTAGCCATACAAACAATTAAAGTGGTACAAACACCATCATTATTTTTATCAAACTAATTTTCATGTCTGGAAATAGTGACACATTCATGATAATTTCTTAGTTTGTTGTCACATAAAAAAGTAATTTTTGTATGAAAAACATTTCAACTGACTTGTACATGAACATACATGTATGTATATCGTGTATGTACACGTGGGTTCAGTTTGTTTCTACTATGATAGATGAATGGACAGAGGTGCCTGACACCCTGAACCTTGATTCATGCCTCACCCACACACACTCACACACAACAAAACAACATTCTTTGAAGCCAAAATTTGTCGTAATGTTGTGCTTTACACAATCATTATAATATTATTTCAGGGTTCAGACAGTACAACTTTTACAAAAGATTTATAAAGCTGGTGTGTTTGAGGATGTACGTGGACCAAAACATGGTAGAGCAGATTTTGCTGAGAATGGAAGAATCTACAGGTAGAAAGGACATTTTAGTTTTAAAGCACCTACTTTTTTGGCGATATTTTAAATTTGTATACAGTGCTACATGTACGTGTATGATATATCTGTTAGAAATTTTGTGCCTCATCCATTACATGCACGTAATACATGCACAAGCTTAAGCTTACATATATTGATTATAAAACCAAAGCTGATCACATAGGTTTATAATGGAATACTGAAATAAGTTTTTGATCTGATTAATTTGACATTATCTTTTACTTATAACTATATTTTTCAGATTTACATCTTCTACCTCACCAAAAACAACAAACAGTTCAAGTAGTAGAACACCATTATCTACACGTAAAAATATAGTAAACTGTGATACACCTGATACTACTGATGGTTGTAAACAAATAGATGATGATGAATTACGCAGTTGTCATCTTGTAGCTAAAATACTTACACCTGGGGAAATAGAAGATGTTTGGAAGACATTCACATTGTCAAGGTACATGTATTTCCTTTTTTGTAAAAAAAATGGTCAAACAAATCCATTTTAGAATTCCTTTCTTTTCTCTCTTAAACATGTATAACCATGCCCAACATGTATAATTTAGACCGGCTAGTAATAACAACACAATAAAAATTCACCGATAGAGAAGCCCATTCGAAGCGTTGCTCATTTATAAGCAGTAATTGTATTCCATAGAATCATGACTTGTATATTCCAGTCCAATTACTAAATGCCATTGTGATTGTATATTTACAGGTTACAGTTAACTATTGGTGTAGATAATTTAACAGATATAATGGATAGTCAACTAGTCAATGGTCATAATATCATGCATAATTGTATTTATATAAATAAGAGTGGTCTTGTTAGTAATGTACAACCTAAAGGTGAGAAACTTTCTAAAACTATTGTATTACATGAATATTTTAATTGTGCACATTCCATCCAAACAGTATGCTCCTAGCGCATGGTTCTCTAGCTCTTCAGTTTTATAATTCACTATAACAGTATTCAAACAGATGAGATTTTAGTTTGGATCTGAAAGTTTCCAAACATTGTGAAGTTTTTGAGATGTACAGGTAAAGAGTTCCATAGTTTTGGCACAATGTGGAAAAATCGTCAAATCCCAATTGATTTATGTCTATAACCTTAGAATAACAGAAATCTGAAAACCCTGACAGGGTGTTGGATGGTCGAATGGTTGGCATCTGTGTGCTGTATCATAAGGTGGTTGTATGTGACAAGGCGTAGGGTCACCTGTCCTCCTTTTCCTCCTATGCGCAAGGGAATTATTGAAATAAAACCATATGTTAGTCCCGAAATGACCTAGTTTGTGTCAAGTGGACGTTAAACACCTCATTTCTCTCCCTTTTTTCCTGCTGAAAATGACATAATCATATTTTGAATTTATTTTTTAGATCAACTTCCACCATGGGCAATGTCTGCTATGAAATGTTTAGCTAGATGTAAGTTTCATTAATGATTTTTAATTTTTGTTTTAGTGCTCCTACCTTCAGGTTAGGACATTTTTATCTGGTCATATATCATTTATTAAACATGCATTACACAAGACCTAAATCTGCATATCACAGGTATTTCTTTAGGCCTGAAATGTTATCTAAATTATTAGACATCAATTAACTTATGCAGACCACAATCAACTCTCAATGCCATGGATTTGAATACATTTGTGATGGATAATTTAACGTGAAATGGATAATCGAGACTTGATTTATTATCGCATCAAAGTTAGTAATGATCAAGGCTTACCTAAAATTGAATCCCTAGTGAAATTTTCAGTATATTCTGTTTTCATTATCTATATTTTAATTATTATAGCAAGAACTGTCAGCTCTTTATCTAATCTTACCTAATAATGTCCCTTTAAACTTGAATGTGTGAATTAATCAATTTATTTCCAGACTTATGAATAAAATTTATGAAATAATCTTTATTGCAGGGCCTGAAAAAGTAGAAGAAAATCTACCAAATTATCCTGGTTTTGAAAAAGATGTATTTGGAGTGGTGAAAGATTATTTTACAAATTTAGAAGAACCACTCATGACCTATGATATGTATGAAGTTATAACGAATGTTTTTGGTGGGTTTATTCTCTATTCTTGTTAAACCTGAATTATTCTTTTACTAATTTATAACTCCCGCAATTGTACCCTTTCATTGATGAATCATAATGGCGAGCATAGTTTGCCAGTCAATGAAAGCTTACAATACAAAAATGTTGTGTATTATTAACATGGTTCGTTAAAGGTATTGAATATATAATAGTTTCTTAGTTGAGGATTAAAGATGCCGCATTATCTGGGTTTAAAAACCCTGAGACTAAATAGAACTAAATGACAAATGTTAGTGTGGCAACTTTAATCCTTATCAGTACCTCAATTATTAGCTGTATTGCTTTTGCTGCAATTAAAAATGCATTATGTAAGAGCTAATGTCACTTAGAATAAAATAATTTGACTGACATTTTCATTATATTCATTTTTCATTATCTATTTTTGAATAATTGTAGCAAGATTGGCCGGCTATTACATAATGCATCTTTAACAATTGTTGAACAGATTCTGTTATTGTACAATGATAATGTTCTTTCCATATTAATATGTCCTGGTTAATAAAACTATCTTATTATACTGTATACTATAGCATTCATAGCATATATATCTTAACCTAAATAACTTCAATATTCAGGCTTCTTTGAGCATTTCCATTTATCATGTTGAATGTGTTTTTCGTTATTTATATTCATTAATTTGTTTGTTTTTTTCTTTCTTTTGCATGGCATGGCATGTTAACAGTTTGTGCAGAAAGCCGTTTACCTCGTCATTCATCTCCGAATGTGAATGCTTCATCCTCCTCTGGTCGTTCTACCCCGAGAACTCCTTGGTGCTATCCTTCTATAGAAAACCTACTTCTAGATATGACGAGATCTGGTAGTTTTGGTAAATCTTACTCTTCTGTCCCATTTCATTTAACTAGTGCTTCTACTTTAAATCTTTCTCGAATAGAGCCAGCCGCTGATAGTATGGCCCCTGACAGTGCAAGAGTTCTTTCATCGAACAGTCTTCCAGTGACACATTATGAAACAGCTTTTGGTCCTGATAATAGAACAGTGACAAGGGTTTATTTTAGTCAGGGTGTATCAACGGATTATGGACATCATCAAAGTAGTGATGAGGAAGAATTAGGTATGCCTTTAGAAACACATTTTGATGTGTCAACAGACTTTCGTCGGCGCCATTCTGACTCTGGTAATTATCAAGTTAATTTTACACGTGTGAAATCATTGGATGGCATAGATCGTGCTAAAAGACGTTACAGTAGAAAGAATTCTTCTAGTTCCAAAAATGGTAGATATAGCATCCATTTATCAAAGTCTCTTCACAATGGTGATACACCAGTCTCGGGAAAAACTTTTGGAATCTTACCTCGAAATGCAAATGTTGCTCGCAGATTGGCCCGTCCTTCAAGTTCATCATCATATGATAGTTGTGGTTATCAACCAATTCTAGACGGATCCAAGTACTCCCGTTCCAACAAAAGATTAAGTTCGTCCTCACCAGATCTAGCCAATATGTTAGCAGCAGAAGATGCAAAGATGTCAAATCCTATCTCTGAAGATGAACCTGCAGAAAATGGAAAACAGAAATCTGACTGTGAGTATTTGGTAGACAACCTTCATGCCATACCTCCATTTTTTTAAAACGTTATCAGTCTAGCAAATTCTTCCAGCATGCATAAGCTTATATTGTATTTTATCCATTTGGGATAAATGTTTAATCAAGCGTGCACCACATTCAGCTTAGTGCTTTGATGCATTTTTGGGCGCATGCTGAGTTGGAGCTTGGTGTTGCTTGTTATGATAATGCTACACTTACTTTGGTTTGTGGTGATAGATAATGGAAAAAGTCCCAGCAAATTTCTCCCAAACAATAGCGAATATAAAAATCTCAAAATTACAGTGTTTGAGCTGGCTTTCTCCCTTGTAAATATATTTTTTCTGTATTGTAGGTGAGTCATTATCAGCAGAAGATTGTGCTAAGAAAGCCCTCCAATTAGTTTGTCTTCTATTACCACCAGCTAACAGAAGAAAATTACAACTTTTACTTAAACTGATGTATAAAATGACAATAAATCAAGATTTAAATCTTGATCCATCACAATCTACTCGTAGTCTAGTAAGTAAAATTATTTATTAACGTTAATTATTTATAATCTTACTTTGTTATTTGGGAATAATACTAACAGCTTTATTAAATGCTCAATACCACTCTTGTAACTGAATAATATGTCCCAATCTTTGTTCTAGTCAACAAATTGTACTATTTTACAATATTCCAATTAATTGATGGTACAAATTTCATCTTAACACACCTAATTTATAAAATTGGAAAAATTCAACTAAATGATTTGAAAAGCCTGACTTAAAGCTTTTCAAATGTCACTTGTATTTAAAAATATTTTTGAACCCTCTGGACAAGTGTAAATTATCCATTAAATCCTATTTTACTTGTACTAGATGTGTTAGTGTCCTACCTGTTGTGTAAATTATCCATTAAATCCTATTTTACAACAGGCAGGACACTAACACATCTAGTACTTAGAATAAGGCTATTTTTATTTTCTGGAGCTGTCAAGCCAGCAAGAAAGAAAGCTATGGTGACTGTCTAGACTGTCAGTTATTTTTGAGCTATTGTTCATTGTTGATATTTATGGTACTGTGTGTCAATTCTGAGTAATGATATAATAATAAAGTTTGTGTACCTCTGTCTTCATTACCCCAGTCAGTGTAGGACGTTAATCCCCATTTCATTTCACTTGGTGCACTGGCATATCTCATTAATTAGTAATTCAGGTAAAAAAAAAAAAAGTGAATAACAAATATCTCATCAGTAACTCAGGAAAATATGAATAACTTTCTGATTAATAAGTAGGCCTAACTCTAATATTTATTTTACAGGTATTAGAAACTTTTTATAAATGTATATTGAGTTGTCCGGATGAGAATGAAATGGATCATGTTTTAGTTATACAATTAGTATCATTTTTAATGGATCATCATACAGAAGTGTTCAGTGTTCCTACAGAACTTAAATTATCTGTAGAAGATAGATTAACAACTTTACAAAAACCACAGGTTGGTACTGATTTTATTGCATTGTTAAATATTCACATTTTGTTCAAATACCTTTACAGAAAGAATTGCATATTTATTCAAATTGGTTTCAAGTTGTTATACTTTTTAACCCAAGTAATAGTGAATTAGTCACGGATCATATATACAGTTTGAGTAGTCCAGTAGATTGGAATGTCTAATGTCAACAATCACTTTGATTTAATCCTTTTTTATTTGCTTGATAACGATACCTCTGTGTATTGAAACGTAGCATGTTAATAAAATTCAGAAGTAGTATATCCATATAAGTGTGTTAATTTCACTTTGATTTAATTAGATTTAATTTTATCATTTGAATAGCAAATTTTGCAAGTCTTTCTGTTTGGGTTTAAATATCTCTTTATTGTAATCCTTCAGTTACTGCAAACATTTTCAACCTCTCACTATTCTACCAATCACAATATTAATTAATTTAGCACAATAACTTTGATCAATCACCTAAAGTAATAATGAATGTGTTATTAAATTTGATTGGTGATGTGTTTATTTTGTTGTTTTTATGCTTTTGTAGTTTATATGTTTAGTGCACGCTCTTTTTTACTTTGCTTTCACTGTTGCCACTTTGCTTTGCTTATTTAGTGTTTTAATAGCATTAAATATTTTTGGAATGCTGTGAAAATATTGAACCGAGTTAAAATTAACACATACCCAGTAAAAATAAAAATAAGCTTACATGTACCTTACTAAAAAAATATTCATTATTAATACCTTCTTGTTTTGTAAATCCCAATGCATTAAATTTCAATTATTTTCAAAATTATTAATGTTCACATAATTTGTTTAATTGGCTTTTGGATTATTTTTTGTTCTTCTGATAAAATTATGTTTATTTTTATGTGGCTGGAGCGTGCACATTTTTTTTTAGTTTTTGGTGGTAGTGAATAGACTTTGTGTTGTGTTTTTAGCACTCTATTTTTATTTTATTTTTAGTTGTTCTTTGGCTTTAATATTGCCATTTTAAGGCTTAGCCTACAAAGCAAAATTCTATAAAATGAAACTTCTCAAAAAGGCTGACATCTTCTCAGTCATTCATTATAAGACCTTTAATATGACAGATTATGCTATTCAATGCCACCATTAGGAAGAGAAAAATTGGGCACTTGCAGTCACTTCACAGGCTTGTAGCTTGCTGACATGTGGCTTGCTTTGTGCAATTTCAGATCAAATATTCACCTGACGATCCCTTGTCATTACGTTATTGTCGACAGGTTGCTGTGTCTACATTTGAAAGTGATAAACAAAGTAATTCCCAGAAAGCCCTGACTATATTACTAGAAGAAATAATTAATGATACCAACATGGCAGACAAAGATAAAAAGAAACGGTTAAAAATGGTGAGACATGCACAAATCTACACGTAACTAATTATTAGAAATCAATGAATTGTGATAGCTGATTAAATTCTGGCTCTTAATTGTGTTTTTTTTTTTTTTATTTAACATTTTTCTTGGTGTATGTGTGGTGTTAGATATCCTTTTCATGTGATCATTGCATGTCAGTGTTTATGTTTGTGGGGAAATTTATGGTTCCGGTGAGACCTGTTATCTGTTTTTATTGGGTTTTTTGATCACTTTTATTTTATGTTGGATGAATTTTTATGAATTGTTGTTTTAGTTTCAGAAAACCTATCCGGAAATTTATACAAAGAGGTTCCCAACAGCTGAAAGTGCAGCCGAGGTATTTCCTGCTAAGCTAAAGATCAAACAACCATTATTGGTCAAGCCATTTATGAAATTACGTGGGCTGCGAATGTAAATTTATTCATCTGTAGTTTCACAAGAAAAATTAGAATACTAGACTAGGAATCATTTTTGGGTTTTAGTAACATCTATACTTGTACATTTTGTAACTAAAATCTAATGTTTATTCAGTAACTAAACATGAACAATATGTGGTAAATAACATCTATGGAAACCATTAATGTTTGTGCTGGTCTCTGTATTCAGTGCATATAGTAAAGAGCATCAAATTAGTGCATTAACATATAGACAGTCATTAATTGTTTGTACATTAAGTAGATCTAATTTATAACATTTTCAACTCGATTCCCGGATAATTATATATTTCTTACTGAAATGTTAGATTTAACTATAATATAAAATATCTGTTTATACATGTACTTACTTGTACATATATATGTATTATTTTCCTTATAACAATATTGATTTTTATCTAACCATGAACAAAGAAGAGAACAATCAAGCATGTATTTATTATATCTTCTATAGTATTACAGTTTTATGTTCCTGAGTAATTTTAATGAGAAAAAAAAGAGATACATCGATAAGTTACGAAAACTAATTGATTAGTTTATCGTTTCAGTATGTAATTATTTATTTTATCATCTTTGGATATATTAAATTTTTGATTTTATCATAGTAATAATTCTTTTCAACCCTATTCCATGTTTTACTAACCGGTTCCAATTTAAAATATTTTCAATGAATTTTTTATTTTATTATTTTGTACAGTTGTTACTGTGTAGTTGTATTTATGTACATATATGTATCAATGTAAAATATGTATTATATGTATCCTCCCAGTGACACACTTGTCTCCATTTCAACATAGAAATATTTTTTAGTGTATTCAGAATATTGGCTTACTTTATGTATACTGTACATTTGTTTTATATAATTCAGAGTTACTAATTTTTATTTCGCACATTTCAATCTAAATAAAATCTAGAACTGATTTGATTTTGTACAATTATATGGTTAATAATATCTAACTAAATTTAGTCCTATATTTTAATTAGAATAGGTTACAAATGATCAGCTATTACCAGGTATTATACTTCCTCCTCAGTGACAGTCTCTTTAAAACTTGATTCCGAGAATAAATTCTTACTCACAAAAGAAAATATATAAAAAATACTCCTTGGGTGATATATAATATATTCCAGGTAGTGATATATTTGCAATACTTTGATCATAGCATTGTGATCTTACTTAAATAAGTTTTGATATAGCTTAAATGATATAATGACAAATTTGTTAGATTACTTTTATAGAGACTGTCGCTTTAAATCAAATTACTTACAGATTATCTTTCATGTTTTTGTATTATGTTTCAATGAAAGATTCTCCTGTGTGAGTAGATATTGATTTTACTGATGTAAATTAAGATGATTTATGCTTGGCTACATTCATGTAAAGACATCTCCCGGGACTAAAAACAAAGTAAACAGATCTTGGCTGTAAACACCATATTAATCACATCCAAAATTCATGAAATGCGGATGAATAGCAGAATTACCTGTATTTTCATTTACATTACATCATATTTCGTTTTTAATTAAAATTATATCTTAAATGTCTTGGATACATTGAATGCCAAGCATGAGCTTTTTATACGCCAACATTTTCATGTGGACTTAATATTGTCATTGCCCATGTCTGTCCGTTTACATTTTGTTTCTGAACACTCTACAGCTCAAAATTTCTGTCTGATTTTAACAAAACTTGATATATAGGTGTATCTCCCAAAGATCTCAGTTCCTGGCATATATTGGACCGAAGTGTCACGTTTTTAGCTTGTGGAAATTTTTATCCAGTTTTGAGGAAGCTTAAAATATGTGTTTATATCCTAAATATCTGGGTTCCTTTCAGAACTTGCGATTATCAGACTGTAACTTCCTGGATTATGACTCCTGATTGTTAAAAAAAATTGCTTTTTTTTTTTTAACTTGTTCTCTGTCCATCTCTTGCAAAATGTGGCATATCTTGCATGGCAACTGCTTATAAAATCTCAGCCATCCAGTAGTCTAGGAGTGAGTGGATATGGGCATGTGAATAAATCTCAAAATGTGGCATATCTTGCATGGCAACTGCTTATAAAATCTCAGCCATCCAGTAGTCTAGGAGTGAGTGGATATGGACATGTGAATAAATCTCAAAATAATTTAGATAAAAGACCTGCAATAGTCAGATTAAGATATTAAATCAGTAAGCAATGTTATAATTATCCTAAATATCAAAATGTTAACATTGTCTGGTCAAAGGTGTTAAAACATGTTAAATTACACTCATGGTTTATCAGCCATGGCAACAAGTTTTAAATGCCAATAATCTTCTATGATAAAATGTCAAATGTGTTGCTTTAATTAGCATGTACACATGTACCATATCTAGTCTAAATCTTAATTATAAGACAATGAACAGTAGTATTACTAGTAAAGTTGTATGTATATCTCTACTTTACTGCGTTTTATTTTTTAGCTTAGTTATTGGTTTTAAATCTTAGTGGATTATTTACCTGTATCTATATCGTGAAATATGAAGCCAATATTCTGAAGGATCAATTGTTATATTATTTTATTCTGTTAGAGATTTCTACACAAATAAAACTATTTTCTCAATTTATTTGATATCTTTATTTTTATTATGCAATAAATGTGTAAACAGTCACAGCTTATACTACTACGTAGTTTCTGATTGGTACAACCCACTGGATATTATTCAAATAAACAAATGAGGTGAAACTTTGGCAAATAAATTTTAACCATATCTGTTTTCTTTATATCTTAAGCTGAATGCAACCAGATTTGCAATCCCTATGCCCAGATTAAGGAGCCAATCCTTATGTTGGAAAATAAAACTGCTTAATTTTGTCTTAAAATCCTCTAAGGGCCGAGCAACTAACTCAATATTTGTGATATGTTTTCAAAGAATTTAAACTTGTCAGTCTTCATCTAGAAATGGAGACCGGTGTCCCAAGCTGAATTATGCAGTGTCTGGATAAAACCAGACTTTTATTTTATAAAAATAATGTGTTGGTGAAATTAACCTTTCGTACAGTACAGCAAAGCACAGCACATGGGTCATTCACTGTATGGGCCTCTAAAGGAACGGGAATCGATTATTAGGTCACCCAACGAAAAAATTGACCCGAAATATTAAAAAGGTTACTTGTCCGGATAAGCATTTTTGACATTCACGTCCAAACGATTCAATATTTTGAGACGAGGTAAATACACCATTCCTCTAAGCTTAAATTTCATACATACTCGGACTTTTATTTTTGAGTCTCTGTTCAAATCGGAGTAGTCCCTTTAAACATTTGGCAATCAAACTTTTTATATATTAGTTTTAATACCTGATATGTGAACAAATATAAATCAAGTTGTAATTATTTTGAAGCTCGAGATGTCCACTCAACTTATTTTGTGATAAATATGGTAAATCTTTTATTGCAAAAAGAGAAAACCTACATGGTTAGGCAAGTGACCATAGTTCTTGTCATATAGAAGCATGGGATCAGAATCAAAATGCTGGATTCGATGGTAACCCCATTACACTCTTCTGTCCTTGGAACTTGACATACATGTAAGAAGCAGCAGTAAATATGTAACCAAGTCTACTATTGTTTAAAAACTCATGTTCTAGAATCAAGAGAGAATGACAGTAATTGGATTTAGCTAACAGTTTGCAATTAATAAGTTTTATTCATACAAATATATCTTTGGATGTCTCTTGTAGATGTTTGTTCATTTTAATGAGGATACAAGAAGAATATAAACTCATAATTATTTCATCGTAAAATATTTTATACATAGACTATGACCCAATACAATATGAATGCAATGCAAAAAATATAATTTGCGACCCATTTCCAGCATTAAATTTCATTCTCGCACTAGTTTTGTTAAATCTTTGAAACGTCCAAGAAATTTTTTTACCCCTTTACAAGATGACTGACCTTAAAGGTCATGTCCAGCTTAGTTCTAATGTGTTGCATCGATAACATCTGCGCTGTCCGGGCAGAAATGGTGCCATTTACTCATTTTACGCCTCCACATAGGATTTTATGTACTCATAAAAATTTTTTATATCCAGATACTTCTTTATTTTTCTTCTTAATTAAAGTGTTTTAAAATTCTATTTGCAGAAGAAAAAAAGTTAATATCGAGGGCTAATTAAATAGCCTTGATATCATCCTTACCAGTGATATTTATCTTTGAAACGTCCAAGAAATTTTTTTACCCCTTTACAAGATGACTGACCTTAAAGGTCATGTCCAGCTTAGTTCTAATGTGTTGCATCGATAACATCTGCGCTGTCCGGGCAGAAATGGTGCCATTTACTCATTTTACGCCTCCACATAGGATTTTATGTACTCATAAAATTTTTTTATATCCAGATACTTCTTTATTTTTCTTCTTAATTAAAGTGTTTTAAAATTCTATTTGCAGAAGAAAAAAAGTTAATATCGAGGGCTAATTAAATAGCCTTGATATCATCCTTACCAGTGATATTTACAACTGATTAATTTGCATAAACTTAATGTATATGTCCGCAGAGTTCAATGTCTTACAATAAAGCTAAGCTCTTGTATGAATAATAATCGGAAACAATTTATGTTTCTATTATTTTAATATAATAAAGATATATACAGTGTACAACAAAAGAATTAAAACCTGTAGTTACAATGGTAAACTTCTGTGTGGTACAGTTAACATAGAGAATTTACAAATATACATCTAAATATGTCAAAATATACATTAATTTTTAATGACATCAATCTGATCTTTATTGTATAAAGTGCAATTATAAATTCATGATTCAAACTCACTGTAAGATATAAAAGGAATAAACTAGTGATACACTTAACTACAGTCATGTACAATAGAACAAATGGGTATTGCTAAGCAACAAAAATCATTATGATGAATGGAATCAAATTCTGAAGCTATTCATTATTTATAAGCAATCAAGCAGACAGTGATGCAAAATTTTAAAATAATTTCAGTATTTGAAGGAACTGCTTAAATATAATTTCATGTTAGAAATTGCAGGCCTTTCAACTGAAATATATATATAAGCATCATTTGCATAACAATCAGGTAGTTTGTCTCAGATGAGTATGATACCTTGGGAGACGAGGTGAGTAAGAAGCTGGCTTAGTAAACAGGAAGTTTAGGGTTCGCTCCCGGTGTTGGCCAAGATAGTTTCTCGAGAGTGTCTCGCATGGTTTACCCTTTGTTTGAATTCCTGACAAAGAACAGCATCTAGTTGTTTGAATGGTACAAAAAAAACCAGACAATTTAAAATAAGAGTAGGCTGTAACGCCACTGTCCAGGCAAAATTTCCCTCACAGCACACTGAATGGCTTATACCCGTCTTCATTTGCCCAGTTGGTGAAGAAAATTAGGATGTTATAAACCCCATTTCATTCATTCAAATTTTCTATCAGTATAACCTTCCATAAACATTTTAATAAAGGTACTAAAATAAAATACCTGGCTTCAGTATTTTTTATGATCATTTAAGTAATATCCCTCAATTGTTAGTTCAAAATTTTTAACTCCACATTACCAATAGAATTAATGAATTTGATCAACTTATAAAAGCTGCTTTATTTTTGTTCAAAAAAAAAAAAAATTGAAGCACAGGATTTGTTCTGATGTGTTTATTCGATCCGCAAAAGAGTAAGCTTTATTCAAATTAGTTTACATCTCGGGACCAAAATTTTTAAATGTACGGTATGCACTATTTCATAAAACAAAACACGTCACACTTCATCAAACTGACAATTATTTTAAATAAAAATGACTGAAACTCCAAATTGATGGCACATGATAAGACAATCATTTAACAGTTCTTGAAATAAATGATTAATAATCATGTAAAACTCTGTTGAAAGCATTGTAGGATGATTCTAAATCAAATAACATCTGACGAACTTGGTTGTTGTCTAGTTCATCTGATGCTGTCATGGAGCTAAGAGTATCCAGCCATTTCTTTACTGTTTCTCTTCCCTCAAAGTTAGCTGGTAAAATACTGAGTCGACTCATAGTTTCATCGAGGTCACGTATATCAGGATGAATCTAAGAAAATAAAAGTTTTATAGTTAATACATTTTTGAAGCAGAAAACCATAGTTCTATATTTAATACAATCTGCAAGCAGAAAACAATATTTATCTTTAAATATTGCCTAAACTCTCTTTATACATTTTTTATCAAGGATGCTTGTGCCCAGACAAAGGACACTATCTTCCATCTTATGGCCACAGTAGATTGTATACCGAATAAATGACTGCAGAAATTTAATATGGCAGAGGCCATATCATTTTGCCAGATGGCAAAATAATACAGTAGGCTTACCGCCACATTTTATGCACCGGACCCACATCTGATACAGGATATTATATATCTTCGTGGAACTGATCATTAGGTTATAAGGAAGGACCCGATCGATCGTAAACACGTTTTTTTTCTTTCAGGTACATTTTTTTCATAATAAAGATGCTTTAAAGGGGGCTTGACAAGCATCCATTTCTGTTAAGCTGTTTTTTTTCTTTCAGGTACATTTTTTTCATAATGAAGATGCTTTAAAGGGGGCTTGACAAGCATCCGTTTCTGTTAAGCTGTTATTACTTATGAAAAGATGCCCCAACTTGCATTTGGAATATACAGTAGCATATTTTTCAATAATTGTTGTATTCTCCTTGAAGGGATTTACTGACTATAATGATAAAAAGAACAGAAAACAGCCTGATAATCGCTTTGCTTTTATATAAGCTACTTTGGCTAAGCAGCAAATTTTTCAGACATTAAATGTAAAAATTTAATTTCTTTTTTTACACAGTCAAAAGAAATCGATGCTCTTAAAATTTCTTACCTCATCCATAGCTTTTATTTCAAGTCTTAATTTATCCATCACAGTTATATATAACTAAAGGAAAACAAAATATCATATTTAACTAATTTGCATGTGAAAGAAGTTATACAAGTCAATTATGAGATTTTAGATATTGTATAGAGATATATAGTTTGTTTAATAATATTTGTATGGGCACTGGGCAATACTCAGCAGTAGATATCACTTCAGATAGATATGTAGTTCAACATCTCTTCAATACAATTGGGTTATATTTTAGCCTAAAAAGTATATTTTTATTTCATTAACTCTCATGCGGCCAGGTTTCTATAGCAGTTAGAGCAACTAGCAATCTATGAGAAAAGTCTTGCAAGAATAACATAATTTACTGTGCACGCTTTGGACTGCTTCAACATCCATTCACACTGGATTTGAGACATTTTCAATTTGCTAAACAGTTAAAATAAAATGGACACTTACTGAAACAATATCGGCAATACATTTACTAGTATTTCCTTTGTCGTCTTTTATTGTAATTGGTCGTAATTCTTTTATTCTTTCTAATGCTGCAGGACAGTCAAGCTATAATAGATAATACTAATATTAATAACTTGAACTCCTGTAACTGTACAAGTGTGTGAGCAGTACAATAAGATGTGAATGTATATGTACTGAGTAGTACACTAGGATCGTAAAGTTATGACGTAGACAGTAGAGCACTAGGATGATAAAGTGTATGATCTAGACAGTAAGTACACTAGGATGATAAAGTGTATGATGTAGACAGTAGTACACTAGGATGATAAAGTTATGACATAGACAGTAGTACACTAGGATGATAAAGTGTATGATGTAGACAGTAAGTACACTAGGATGATAAAGTGTATGATGTAGACAGTAGAACACTAGGATGTTAAAGTGTATGACAGTAGAGTACTAGGGTGATAAGTACACTAGGATGATAAAGTGTCTGATGTAGACAGTAGAACACTAGGATGATAAAGTGTATGACTAGACAGTAGAGCGCTAGGGTGATAAGTACACTGGGGTAGGGTGACCACCCGTCCCGCATTTCGCGGGACAGTCCCGCAAAATGTTTCCAAGTCCCGCGTCCCGAAAACCAACCAACCTGTCCCGCAATTGCTCACATGGAAGATTTCTATACAGTAATATGTGTGAATCTAGTCTCGCTATAGTCTATTTGAGTATTAGTCTAGTCAAAATACTGAAAGACGAAAGACCCACCACAAATTCCTTCAGATGGTCTTTTGTACCAACATGTAGATCACCTTTCCCTGTACATCATTCTGAAAATCCACCGAAATCCACAGGCGTGCCCCCCCTCCCCCGTCACTGGTGCAGGACAGAGAGCCTTGGTCAACGGTCAACGTATACTCATTCGGATGAATCCTTGGCAGTTGGAATTCGATATAAGAGTATAGGCCGTAGCACCGGTCCCGGGCACAATTTCGATCATAGGACAAAACATGTAGATCGCCTTTCGCTGTATATCATTCTGAAAATCGACCGGTGTGCCCCCCCCCCCCCCTGTCACTGGTGCAGGACAGAGGGCCTTGGTCAACGTATATTCATTCAGATGAGACGCAAAAGCATCCTTGGCAGTTGGAATTCGATATAAGAGTATAGGCCGTAGCACCGGTCCCGGGCACAATTTCGATCATATGGCGTATGCCCATCTTCATTAGCCCAGTCGGGTGTTAAATCCCATTTCAATTACAATATTTTAATGTAATAAACATAAGAAATGGAAAATATTGACAAAAATCAACGAATATAATTTATATAACATTGACACCTCACACTACAACTACAACCACTATCAGCAGCGCAACCGACAACACCACGACCGTCACCATACTCAAAAAAAATTAAATTAAATTAAATGAATATAATTAATTCACATATTATAATTTACAAAATATTGTATAGGCTTCACTACCAGTAGAAATCTCAGTTCTCAGGCAGTACATCTTCAAAGATCTCCAAATATTAATTTACAACTTGGAAAACGTGCTTTGTCCTATGCTAGACCTTTTCTATGCAATAAACTACCAAAGTCAATTATTGTCAAAACAGTCCAGGGACAGAGAGAAGAGAGAGAAAAAGACAAATGGAATTTTACGCCCACTCGAAACAAACTATAAGGTCTTCAGCTTTGGGAGGAAACCAGTGGACGAGGTTAGATGGCGACCCCATTCCTAGTCACGTACAAGCCGGGAATCGAAACTACGCCAGTTGACTCAATGGCAGACCTTATGATATAGCTCGCACGTGCTAACCATTCGGCCATCCAGCCCCCCAGATCTTAAATAATGCATCTTTAACCAGCATAACATCCTTTATACTAAGTTATTATAAAATCACAATCAGTTTTACAACATTTAGCATCATTGAACATTACCGATAAAATCTTAATACTTTTCACTACCTTCAGCATGATTTCATTTTAGCAATAAACGATTAATGTACATGGATGATAATTGATTGTAACTTAATAATTTAATTCAACGCTAACGCACCCTTTCAAACGGTTCTGTCGCACAAATTAATAATTTATATATTTTGTTTACTTTCCTGAGCTGTGTTGAGTAATCCAGACAGCTTTTAAACTATGCGACAGTAATAACTCAATATTTTTTGATGATTTTCAATGAATTTTAACAATTTACCAACAATAGTTTGAAAATTAACACCAAATACAGAAACTTCTGCTAAAACAGCACAAATAAATGATACGTTGAAGTGTATATATACATCAACTTTTTTTTGTCTTACTCTATATTTCTTCATAAATTCTTCAACTGTTGTATATTCACTCTGTACTTGTCGAAAGGCTGCTTTATACTGAACTAATAATTTAGAACATGCTGCTGTATATCTACAATATAAACAGTTTAAACTTAAACATACATTATGCAAGAGCTAAATCTTCCTATTGCAAGTCTCTATTTAGGCTTCAGTTGTTATAGAAATTATTAATTAGACCTTTATTTACATGACAAGCTCAAAATCAACTCTGTAAACCCTCGGATGGCTTGGAAACACTTGGATCGTCCATTTGAAATTAAATCAAGAAATGGCCAACCAAGCTAACGTTTACCGTTAGTCACTGACGTCACTACCGGAAACTGGTGATGAAAGGCCTACCAAGCGAGGGTACCATAGTCATTGAGAATGTTACTTGATAATCAAGAATAAGTAGGTGGAGTTATCGTCTGTCAATCAAACGATCGGCAGTTCTCATAGACAGTGCAGACACAGTTGATACCTATTTCTAGTCCAAACTTCCAACATTGACAACTTTGTTTAGAATAAAGTAATTTGACTGAAATTTTCAATATTTTCTTTGTTTATCATCTATTTTTGAATTATTATAGCAAGAATGGCCAACTCGTTATTAAAGGGACAATAACACTCTTGCTGGCTTGACAGCTCCAGAAAATAAAAAAATAGCCTTATTCTAAGTACTAGATGTGTTAGTGTCTTACCTGTTGTGTAAATTATCCATTAAAACCTATTTTACTTGTCCAGAGGGTTCAAAAATATTCTTAAATCCAAGTCACATTTGAAAAGCTTTACGTCAGGCTTTTCAAATCATTTAGTTGAATTTTTCCAATTTTTTAAATTAGGTGTGTTAAGATGAAATTTGTATCATCAATTAATTGGAATATTGTAAAATAGTACAATTTGTTGACCAGAATAAAGATTGGGGCATATTATTCAGTTACAACAAGAGTGAAATTGAGCCTTTAAACTCTTAACTAATGTATCTTTATATATACTAATCATACAAACTCTGTGAAGCTACTGTCAAGCTTGACAGAAGTTGTAGGATATCTATTAAACTGTAGATATTAGATACTGGAAACTTCTGATATTCTACACTAAGCGTCCCGGCCTTTCTACCAGTAAGATACCTTTTAATTAGACTTATGCTTTTGTTATCAGAGTATCGACAGTTGGAGACTACATCCAAACTACAAGGCAAACATATACCACAACTTACTCTTTAGGCGCAACAGCATCCCTTATATAAGCTTTTTCTAAACTTTGTATAGTGTTAATCACTGCATACAATTCAGCCATATTATCATACCTATAACATAAAAGATTAAATATGACTAAAAAATGATAATAATAAAAGATTTCCTTTACTATATCTGTATCAAAAATTAGCAAAAATTCTGTTTAATCTAAGTACAATGTTCTCTTACTTTTCTCTGTCTCTTGCTGTTCTGTTTAATTTCACTTCCTAAAAGAAAGAAAAGATTATACAAATTAAAGTGTGAAAAAAAGAAATCATTAAACTCTGTTAAGGCCAAACAATACCTATTTTATGATGCCAAATTCGAAGACCATAAACTTTTTTTCTCCAGTTCCCAGGTCATAACAATCGGTCTTGGCATGGTTTTCTGTAGCCTGAATCAGCATTATTTTCCTGAACCTTGATCAAAATGATAATAATGTGACAAAATTGAGGGAAAATAAGTTGCCAGGCAAAAAAACATACGCCCACTGCTGCTAAATCGTCCGAGCAGTCGACAAGGGTTGTCACATATTTATTCTTTTGTAGGTAATTAGGGGAATTTAATAGACAATTTCATACACATGACATTATAATTTTCGTTGTTTGAAGGTTCACATGGTTCTAAAAACTAAAACAAGGGCCGTAACTCTGGAAGCAATCTACAGAAATTGTTCAAATTCGACAGGCTTTTTTCGTTTTACTAATTCAAATAATGCATATAAATTTCATACAGATCGGATGATAACTTTTGTTGTTCGAAAGTTCACAAAGTTCAACAAAGTAAATCAAGGGCCATAACTCTAGACGTAATTGACGGAAATTGCTGACATTCAATAGGCTTGTTCGTCTTCATTTCACTAATTTAGGTGATAACTGAAACTCAATAGGCTTGTTCGTTTTACTAATTTAAATGATACATATAAATTTCATACAGATCGGATAATAACTTTGGTCGTTAGAGCATTTACAAGGTACAACAAAGTGAAACAAGGGCCATAACTCACGGAAATTGCTGAAATTCAATAGGCTTCTTCATTTCACTAATATCTGCATATCAATTTCAAACAGATCGGATGATAACTGTTGTCATTAGAGCGTTCACAACATTTAACAAAGTGAAACAAGGGCCATAACTCTAGATGTAATTAACGGAAATTGCTGAAATTCAATAGGCTTCTTTGTTTTACTAATTTAAATGATGCATATAAATTTCATACAGATCGGTTGATAAATTTTGTCGTTAGAGCGTTCACAAGGTGCAACAAAGTGAAACAAGGGCCATAACTCCAGAAGAAATTAACGGAAATTGCTGAAATTCAATAGGCATCTTCATTTCACTAATTTAAATGATGCATATCAATTTCATACAGATCGGTTGATAACTTTTGTCATTAGAGCGTTCACGAGATTAAATAAAGGGAAACCAGGGCCATAACTCTAGATGTAATATACAGAAACTGCTGAAATTCAATAGGCTTCTTTGTTTTACTAATTTAAATAATGCATATATATTTCATACAGATCGGTTAATAATTTTAGTCGTTAGAGCGTTCACAAGGTGCAACAAAGTTAAACAAGGGCCATAACTCCAGAAGAAATTAACGGAAGTTATTGAAATTAAATAGGAATCTCCATCTCACTAATGCAAACAGCATATATCAAATTCAAAACAAACGGTTGATAAATGTAGTCTGTAGAGTGTTCACAAGAAATTGTGGGCGATGGACGGACGGACCGAAGGCAATATACGACCACATTTCCATGTGGGCGTATAAAAATGAAACCGTATTACAGACGGTTTCTTTTTCCTGGCATTAAATATCCATCAAGGACTTACGACAGCATTAATACAATACCATGTTTCAATTGCTTAAAGTATTGCTGGGTCATCTTTAACTTACCTCAAATAAATCTGGATTATTAGGTTGACCTGGAATATAATTACATATATTTATAAGTTTAAAATCAATAACATAAAATAACTAGTTATAGTTTTTAAAAGTGTTGTTGTGATGTTGAGAAAAGGAACCTGTCTGCTCAACTGTTTCTAAATTAAATCCATGTACCTGTGTGCAGTGCACGGTTATTGCTAGAATCTTGATACTCGTAAAGTTTCCTGTTGAGGTAGGGTACTATACATGTATAGTTCCTTCTAGAAGCTCACTGCTTCAAGTCACAGTGATGTGCATGTGTAATACATTACTACTAATGAATGAAATGTCGAAAGCTATAGAGAAAAAATTATTAATTTAACCGATAATTTTTGCAGTTATTCTAAATAAAAGTTATGTCCCTACTCTGGGCTGTGTATGTTTAATTAGTCATAATAGTAGGCTATAACATTATCTTATTTTAAAGATGTTACATGTACATGCATTAATAAACAAAATGAGTTTGTATGATGAAATTAATAAGATAAAATCATAGCTAAAAACAAACCCATCATATCTATCTCAACATTTTTAGCTACATTCTTGTAGATAGTTTATTGCTAGCTATATTCTAACAGTACAACATGAGTTCATCAAGAATCAATTCAAAAAATTTAATACAAGGTGCTCCTACAGAGAACAGTCATTCTGTTACTACCATGTAACCAAGTCAAAAATTTAATACATTAAGGATTGATGGTGCTGCTACGAAAATGAGAGAGGAATAGAGAGGAATAGGGTTTAACTCCCACTCGACACAAACTATGTCATTTCGGGACTAACATATGGTTCTATTTTATTTCAATAATTTGTTTGCACGTAGGGGTCTTTAGCAGTGGGAGGAAACTGGAGGACCCGAAGAAAACCCATGAGGTTGGACAGGCGACCCTACTCCTGGTCACATACAACCGGGAAATCGAAACCACGCCACTTGACTCAATGACAGATCTTATGATAAAGTGAGCACGTGCTAACCATTCGGCCACCCAACCCCCGCTACAGAAAACAGTCAATCTATTACTACCATGAAAATACATCAAAGATAGATTGCCAGGTAATATCCCAGCCTGTCAATCAGACGAGAAAGGTCGGTAGACTGGTTATGCGAGACACTAATTTCAAAACAAGGGCACGTAACCTATTTTTATATGCCCACATTGATATGTGGTGGTATATTGTTGTCGCTCCGGCATCCAAATTACTTGTGGACGTTCTCGAGGCTAAAGTTAATATCCGATTGACTTTAGATTTATTATACACAGTGTTTAAAGTCATAAGACGGAGAAGCCTAGTGATTTTCAATGATATCCGATAATTAGGGCCAGAGTTATGGCCCTTGATCACCTTGAAATATCTTGTGACTCTCTAGAGGCTTATGTTATCATCTGATTGACTTCAGATTGATACACAGAGTTTAAGGTCTTGAGACAAACAAGTATATTGATTTTCAATGAATCAGCTAATCCATGACATTAAATGTTTCGTATGCTAAACGTCTGCATGGGGCAGAACCACAGAACTTTATAAAAACCAAACAAATTCTAATGATTACTCTTAATCATATTTTAGTGTATTATAAATGTTTCATAACTGAAAAAAGTAAAGATAGGTTGCCAGGCAACGAAACATACGCCCACAGCAACTAAATTGTCCGGGCAGTCAACAAGTGTTGTCGCATATTTTTACTTCTTTCGGTAATGAAACATTTATAATACACTAAAATCTGATTAAGAGTAACAACTCATGAAGTAATTATCAGAAAACCAAGCTAAAGTTTAGTATACAAAACTTTTAATATCATGGATTTAGCTGTTCCAAGTCATAAAAATTCATTGAAAATCAATATACTTGTTCCTCTCAAGCACTTAAACTCTGTGTATCAATCTGAAGTCAATCGGATGATAACTTTAGCCTCTAGAGCGTCACAAGATTTTTCAAAGTGATCAAGGGCCATAACTGTGACAGTAATTAGCGAAAATCACTGAAAATGAATAGACTTCTTTGTCTCATGACCTTAAACACTGTGTATAAATTCAAAGTCAATTGGATATTGACTTTAGCCTCTAGAGTGTCCACAAGATTTTTCAAAAGTGATCAAGGGCCATAACTCTGGCAGTAAATATCGAAAATCACTGAAAATGAATAGACTTCATCTCATGACCTTAAACACTGTGTATAAATTTAAAGTCAATCGGATATTAACTTTAGCCTCTAGAGTGTCCACAAGATTTTTCAAAGTGATCAAGGGCCATAACTCTGGCAGTAATTATCGTAAAATCGCTGAAAATCAATAGGCTTTTTCGTCTCATGACCTTAAACACTGTGTATAAATTTAAAGTCAATCGGATATTAACTTTAGCCTCTAGAGCGTCCACAAGATTTTTTGAAGTGATCAAGGGCCATAACTCTGGCAGTAATTATCAGAATTCGCTGAAAATCAATAGGCTTCTTCGTTTCATGGCCTTAAACACTGTTTATAAATTTAAAGTCAATTGGATATTAACTTTAGCCTCTAGAGCGTCCACCAACTGATGGACGGGGGCAACGACAATATACGACCACATTTCAATGTGGGTGTATAAAAATATGCAACAACTCTTGTTGACTGCCCAGACGATTTAGCTGCTGTGAGTATATGTTTCGTTGCCTGGCAACCTATCTTTAACTCAAGAGTGCCTGGATTTTATGGCCGACACTTGTAACCATTTTTCAGTCTATTATTTATGGATGGCTAAATGGTCATAGCTTATTAAGTACAACATGACCGTTCATTTAGTGACTTTAAATGTGTGAAACTGATTTTAATAAGCCTAGGTGCCATGCATGTTTGATGTGACTCCCATTTTTGTGTCTCAATATTTGTTGAAGATTTTGTCTTACTCATCGGTTTTAATCTTAAACCCTTAACCCTCAAGAGAGAGAGAGAGAGAGAGAAATGGGGTTTAACATCCACTCGATACAAACTAGGTAATTTCGTGACTAACATATGGTTTAATTTTATTTCAATAATTCGTTTGCGCGTAGGGGTCTTTAGCAGTGGGAGGAAACCGGAGGACCCGGAGACAACCCACGAGGTTGGACAGGCGACCAAACTCCTTGTCACGTACAACCGAGGATTCGATACCACGCCAGTTGACTCAATGACAGGCCTCATGAATATGATACAGCGCGCACTTGCTAACCATTTGGCCATCCACCCCCACTGAGGCAAGAAGTTACCGGTATGTGTAAACAAACTGATATTTAAGAATCTTATAAATACGTGTATATTTGTTATTTTATGTTACTGCTAGACAGTTGTGAAATTAATCCATTTTTAGCATTAATGGTGACTATATTGTGGAAGTATAATACGTCTGGCTGTTTGTACTTTCAGTTTCTAAAATTAGTGATTTCAGACAAGTCATATTCATTAATCAATGCCGTATAAAAATATGTAAAATATCTCAATCCATTTTATATTCTAAGTTTTCACGTTATTCATTCGCTATAGAAACATACCTGAACTAGGATAAACTTGGGCGAACATCTTGTAGTTTATTAGCAAGCTAAAATTCTATTTTATGTAACTGACTCACAATCACCCTCCTCAGTCTATTTATTTTCTAAATCTTTAGTTCCGTTTCCGCATTATGTTTCTAAAAATAGAGATGGCTCATCTCCTAGTCTTGTTTGTCAAAACACATAAAGAAGTAAAACAATGAAAGCCTGGCTACCATCATCTACATAATTGCTGTGTACGTCACGATTTCTGTTTTTGGTGACGTAGCACGCACTTTGTGTTTGACATAACAACATCGACCGGAGTATCAGGAAATAATACAAATTTTGTCCAATAATTGTAACTATATTTGAATTAAAATGGGAGGTTCACATAGTGCCTTTACAGAGCAAGAACTTGATGATTATCAGGTACGTTAGAAATTGAACACCAAACCTCTTGAATTCTCCTTATTTATGAAACAAATTAATTGTTATTTTGATTTTGAATGCACTTGATCACCCGAATCGCGAATCTTGGATGAATTGATCATTCATTCAATGTCTATGTCATCCTATGATGTCATTGTATTGCAGAGAGCAGAATTTAGGTTGTTTAGAAATACACTATAATTTTTTTTAAAGGCATTGATCTCGATGTATCTCAGTCAATAAAGTAGTAACTACATGATAAGATAATTTATTAAATGTTTTGTTTTTGTCATGTCTTCTTAGACCAAATTCGAAATTATCATTAAAAATATTATTTTACGTTACCAATTTAGTAATCCAAACGTAATTTTAACATATGAATTCAGACACTAGATAGCTGTTATATATGTAGGTTTTTTTTTTTATTTGACTGATCAATAATTTCATGTCATACCTAAACGTCATCGATATTTATTTGTGCCGTAAGTGGCTTGGTGGCTCAGTGAGTAAGGTGCTATCAGTCTAATCAAAAGTTAAGGAGTTCGATCCAGTCCAGGTGTTGGTCGAGAAAGTATAATTAGCTGACACTAGAGTTTTCCAGCGTGGTTTATATGGAAGGGATCGCTGTCAATATTAAATGCTCTGCTTAAATGTCTTTACCATTGATGTAAAAAGTACAATGTACAAAGTCCTAAAACCAGTAATGATAAAGTCAAAATACTTCTAAGGCCAATGTTAAAAGTAAAACGTCAAATGTAATGTTTCAAATGACAAATGTTTGATTGGAAAAAGGCTATTTTTTGTGTGTCTACATTTTACTTTTCCCTCAGTACATTTTACATTTGCATTCTTCTGCATCTCATTTGACCTTCACGCTTTCTACATAGCATCTTACGCAGAGCACTAACTATGATATGCAAATGTAGGATATCACGTAACTTATTAACATATACTGAAATGAGGCTGAGATGAACCTGGCACACTATAAGCCAGCATACAATAAGGGGAAATCAGTCTGGCACACTGTAAAAATATTTCTTACGGTACCGTGAAAAAATGATCAAATTTGGATGGTACTAAACTATATTACCATGATTACAGAGAGGAAGAGGGTATACAAGCAATGTCAAAATATGGTTCATGATGCGATATTCACTATATCATGTTACATATCCGTGAAAAGCACGTTCATGTATACTCTTTCCTCTCTTTAAATACATGTAATATTCATTATTTGTTGGGCACAATGATTATATTTTTTTTAAAAATGGATTAAAGGTAATTAGTCTGTACTCAAATTTTTAAGAGAGAGTGCGGGGGCGGTGGCGAGGGTCAAAATGTCAAAATACGGGTCTTAATACGAAATTCCAGTTATCGTGTTCATCACTGAAAAGTAAGTTTCTTTATGGCACATTCATAATTACCTACTTTAGAGAAAGAAAAAGCCTTCTTGTTTTGTCGAAAGAAATTTTCACTGTCCGACAGTAACCTAATTGCTAAATATAGACTATACTGTCAATTTATGTTATTTGTCAAAGGCTCGGATTACCCATAGGCATACCAATCACATGATTTTATTGCAGGCACGATTGTTCAGTGAATTTCTTATAGTTTGCCAGGTTGATTGCCTCAGTATCGTGTGGTAAATTCTTATGTGTGTGAGATAGCTTTATTTAACGCCCGCTTCAACCGAGGTGATATCACAGACAATGTAAATATCTTATAGTGTGCAGGCTTATAGTGTGCCAGGTTGATCTCGGCCTCGTTTCAGTATATGTTAAGTCACGTGATATCCTACATTTGCATATCATAGTTAGTGCTCTGCATAAGATGCTATGTAGAAAGCGTGAAGGACAAATGAGATGTGGCAGAACGCAAATGTAAAATGTGATGAGGGAAATGTCAAATCTAGACCGGTCAAAAACAGCATTTTTGAATAAAACATTTGACATTTGACACATTGCATTTGACGTTTTACATTTAACTTCGGCCTTAGAGGTAATTTGACTTGATCATTACCGGTATTAAGACTTTGTACATTGTGCTTTTTACACATAATCAACGATAAAGACATTTTAGCAGACCATTTAATATTGGCAGCGATACCTTTCGGTAGGTTTACCCTGGTCCGTGATTGCAGCATCGAGGGCCTGGTAAGGACAGTGTCATTTGTTCATTAAAATTGCACGAACCGCCATGGTCCTGTTACATGTTGATGTACACGTAATAGAATCCTTGACAATTGGAATTGGAAATAAGAGTAGGCTATAGTACCGTTGTCCAGTCATTTTGTTGTTTATCTTATTTCTGTTTGTTGATGATATTGTCATTTGTTGACAATGTACATTATACAAAATGGAATAAGGTCTACTGCTGATAGGCCTCACATTGTTTTAGACACTATTACATTATTATTCTGGGCTAATGTAGACGAGCATTATTCAGTGTGTTATGATGAACATTTTGCCTGGACACCTGTGCTACATACAGCCTAATTTATTTTTAATTCCAACTCATGTGTTTGTCAACGTGTACACAGTACCTTGGTTTTTCATCCCATATGAACAACAAGACACTGTTCCTTGAAAAACCCAACGGTCTTTCAATAACAAAGTCAAAGAAATCAATGCCAGACAATCACAAGGAAATTTCTCAGTCAGCACTGCCAGAATCAAACCTAGGAATAACTTCCTGGTCCATATTTGAATTTTTCTTTTGGTAAATTTTATATCACTGACAATTTAATTTTTTTGTTTTTCTTTTAGACCCTGACATATCTTACAAAGAAAGAAATTCTTCAGTAAGTATTTTTAAAATATTGATATATCATTAGTTAATATGGCAATATTGGTTTTATTTGAAGTAGGATGACCTCAATAGATATGTATATTTTACCCCTGCTTATATTCATGTAAGGAAATATAATGTAAACAAAACTGATAATGGTTGTTTAACCAGGACAAGAGAAGTAAGCTGTGTATGTATGATTTTATATGGTGTTAGACTCACCATTTGACTGATAATATTGTGACATGTTGTGTCTAAAAAATATTACCCTAAAACAGAACAAAACTGGTAATTATCTTTATCAACAATGCATGAATATTGTTTAATTTACGTTTTATTTACATTACATTATTCTAACTTAGCATCTTTAGTATTCAAGGAATTGATTTGTAGGTTGTTTTTTTGTTGTTTTTTTTTTTCAAATAATAGTTTTAGCAAATGTATCATCTAATGTATTGAATTATTTGCAGTGTTTATAAAAGATTCTACACCTTAGATCCAGAAAAAGTTAATTTAGATAAGAATGTTAAACTAGCAATGGATGATATTCAGAAATTACCTGAACTTAAGGTACGGTATGAATAATAATGATCAAAGAAAATTTCAGTTACTGGGTAGTCAGAGAGCAGAAGAAAACAAATTTGACGTATAGTTGAACACATGTACTAAAATATATGAATTAGGGAGTAATTCTTTGGATCGTTTTGTGTGAAGAAAGAGGAGAGAGAGAGAGAGAAATGGGGTTTAACGTCCTCTCAACACAAACTAGGTTATTTCAGGACTAACATGGTTTGATTTTATTTCAATAATTCGCTAGCGCGTAGGGGTCTTTAGCAGTGGGAGGAAACCAGAGGACCTGGAGAAAACCCATGAGGTTGGACAGGCGACCCTACATACAACTGGGAAATCAAAACCACGCCACTTGACTCAATGACAGACTTTATGATACAGTGCGCACACGCTTACCATTCAGCCATCCAATCCCCCGAAGAAAGAAATGTAATGAAATGAAATGGAGTTTAACGTCCTACTCCGAAGAAAGAAGAATAAAGAAGAATAAATGTTACACTTGAATGGGCTATACTGATCAATAGAAATGACTTGCATTGGCTGAGTTCTATAGTTGCTGTTTGTCTGGGGATTACTGTCTGCTTTCTCTGTCTTAGTAACCATTCAAAATATTTAAACATTAAATTTTTCAGTATTTACTTATTGTTCGATCTAGAAAAGTCTAGATCCAGTTTCAAATTTTATTGACTTCTATCCACATCAGAACATTTTCTAACCCAAACGTTTGGTTTTGATCTCCTAAATTAGAATACTGCTTAATAAACTGAATACAGTATGATTGATATAATGCTAAATTGTATTGAGATTGTTCAGCAAACAACAAGATATTCATTGTAGAAACATAGCTCCGATTAAAATGCAGTAATTTTTTTTCCTTAGAATTGTTTTGTTGTACGCCCACATTTTCATGTGGCTACCATTTGTTTTTGGATACTCAACAGGTCACAATATTTATCCAATTTTGACGAAACTGGAAATTAGGTTTACATCTCTCAAGGATCTTGGTTTCTTTTTTTCGAAATTGGCAAGTATCAAAACGTAACTTCATGGATTATTGCCCCTGATTGTATAAAAAATATCGTTTTTAGCTTGTGGACACTCTAGAGGTCATAATTTAAATCCAATTTTGATGAAAGTTGAAATGTATGTTTATAACCCGAAGATATCGGTTTCTTTTGATATTCGCGCTTATCGAAACGTAACTTCCTGGATTATGGCCCCTGATTGTACGAAAAATCGCATTTTTAGCTTATGGTCCCTCTATAGGTCACAATCATTATCCGATTTAAAAAATGTTTGAATATATCATCGTTACACCATAATGATGGTTAATTTCGAATTTCATAAAGGTCAGACCGAATCTGCCAGACAAAATGGCTGCTCCACGTATGCAAAAAGTGTCAAGTATGTAAGGGTTGTGAACCCTCTAGAAATCACAATTTTTATCCGAATTTGATGAAACTTAAAATATATGTTTATGTCCAAAATATCTAGGTTCCTTTCGTGCATATCGGACCGTAACTTATTATGACCCCTGATTGTACAAAATATCACACTTTTTTTTTAGCTCGTTCTCTGTCCATCTCTTGCAAAATGTGGGCATATTTTGCATATCACATTTTTTTTTAGCTCGTTCTCTGGCAATCTCTTGCAAAATATGGCCATATTTTGCATGGCAAACCGCTGGCTGGTTTGTTTTCATGTAATATTCCTATATATCTGGTGAAATCAGTGGTACAAAAAAAGGTTCCAAGGATATGAAAATATGATGCATATTATTGTTTTCATTTATTTAAAATATTGTTTTGACAGGTGAATCCATTCAAAGATAGAATTTGTAAAGTTTTTTCATCAAGTGGAGATGGTGAGATGACATTTGAGGACTTTCTAGATATGATGTCAGTTTTCAGTGATCAAGCTCCTAAAAATGTCAAAGTAGAATATGCTTTTAGAATCTATGGTAAATGTTTCTTTATTTTTTTTGGCAAACAATATTTACTACATACTATAAATATTTTATGTAAAATATGTAGTGAATGTGATGAGTCAATAGATCATAATATTTTTTCCCGGAAGTGTCACTGGACTGTCATAGGTTAATCCAGTATCCAATAATTGTAATGACTGTATGTAACATATTCATATTAGCTGATTTTGATATGTGAGTGTATATTATTAACACCCAGGTCTGTTCACATTTCTTTAAAGAATGTAGAGGTCATAGTTATTTAAAAAGGAAATTCTATCAAACTTGTTACACTTTTGATAGTCTTATGGAAAAACCAAATCAAAATTTAAAGTTGTATATGAATTTTGTGTCAAGTTATCGCCCCTGTCACTGAGATCTTGTAAAATTTGTCTATATATTAAAATTCAGAAACATTTTTTTTTCAAACTTGCTGTATTTCTGCTGAACCCTGTCCAAATTCAGAATCGTTTTTCAAACTTAGTGTATATTTCTTTCCTGAATGTTGTGTTATTATTATTACATTTATATGGTGAAGTTAATTATTGGTATGAAGAAGCAGAATGATATCTATCCTTTTTTTTTTTGTATTTATAGATTTTGACGAAGATGATATGATATCTGGTAGTGATTTAAAGCAAGTTGTAGACAGATTAACCGGGGAACAAAATTTATCTGAAGAAGATATGCAGCAACTGATTGATAATGTAATATTTTGAAATAATTTTTTTTCTTAAAAAATAATTAATCAAAAAAGTGTCCGATACTTTATCTATAAATAACTATTGAAGTGTTTCTCAACCTTTTTTTTGCCAACGGCACACCTTGGAACACATGAAAAAATAGCGTCACGCCTGGCTAAAGATATATGAAAAATATTTTGATTTTGCAAAATATAAACATAGAAAGCATACAACTGTAGACACAGACTAGCCATAAACACATGGAATGACTCAAAATAAAATAAAATAAAAACACAGCTATGAACTTGACAGTAGACACCAGTGAATTCTCAATTGGGATCACATGGTTTTTCCCATCTCGTGCCACACTGGTTGAGAATCACTGATCTAATGTGTGATTTATTGGTCAAATATTTTGGATACAATGCAGCAGTCCACAAATATCAAATAATCTGAATTGTAACGTCTCTAAAAATGATACTGTTAATTTTAACAAATATTTTATCAAGATGGTGTCCATTACATTACCTAAATAATCTGTGATTAAGGAGCAGACACTTTCTGGAAACTGTCTCTTGAAAAATAATAAATTTCATTTGATATGATTGTAGATTTTTATGGAAGCTGATCTAGATGATGATGAATTTTTATCATTTGCTGAGTTCGAACATGTTATATCTAAAGCTCCTGATTTTATTAAGTGAGTACAATTGTTAGCTGTCTGTAATGTGTGTGGATAATGTGTGTATGTCTGCTATGCTGGGGGTCATTATTTAAATCCCTGCAGGAGTGACCTGTCTTACCGTCTGTAATGATCTATTAATTATACCGACACTGTGGCTTCAGATCATGGACAGGAGCAAATAATACACCTGAAAGTAATGACTACATGAAAACTTTGCCTGGAAGATGGGGTCAATTATAAGTTAACATAATCAGTATATAGTAGTTTCTTAATGTGTCCATTGGAAATATACATTTTTATAATATAGTTCAATTCTTTATTTATTAATTTCAGTTCATTCCGCATTCGGCTGTAATAAGGAAGTTGACATGATCAGACCCAACATTCAGTGGTTGTGGGACCATAAAGTATTACAGTAATTATGCAGAATAAAGAAACCAAACTTTATATTACTATTCCCAGACAGATTTGTGTTTAAAATATTAGAAATATGATCTTGTTTCAGTATTTTACGTGGAGAACATCTTTGTCAATAATAACCCATATTCAAAAGGAACATAAAGAAATAGTTTTCACTGTGAACAGGTCATATTTAATTTAGGATTATTTTCATGCTGGCATTAAATATTGTTAAATCAGTGTATTGGGACTGATTCTATTTTGTTTTTGTTATTAATATCTATTGTAAATGGGACACAGTTTGGTACAAAATAACTCTAATTGCAATGTAAATTTGCTACAACATAATACAAGAATTTAAACTCTGTTCTTCCACTATTGTAACTTCAGCCATTATGTGAGATTCTTTATTTCTTGTGCGAATCTTAACAAACTATAAAAACAGAATTTCATTTTATTTCACATACATCAATATATATATTGTTGTCACCCATGTGTCTTATCCTTTATGTGTGATTCAATCATTTTTACTTATTTGGGAATCAAAGATCATTGTTTGGCAATTTGCATTACATGTATGTTTTGAAAATATAATTTTTTATCAATCAATCAGGATGCATACACTTGCAGATGACCTTTCTTTAATAAAAACCAAACTATGGAAATTATTGGGTAAAATAACAAAATACCATGTAAGCTACATTAATTTCATGACAATAATTAAATTTGTGGGTGGATTGAAAGCCTTGACAACTACAGTTGATTTATCAGTACCATCAGGGGTATATATTCATTCTTTTGCATGGATAGTTCTCGAGGAAAACCAGGTTACCTGGTGTATAAATTCGGAAATCAGTTAGGATGAAAATGTACAAATGGTCTTTATTTTCTTCCTACCTACACCTGCTTATTGTTTGTACCTTTTCTTCCTGAACCCCTTTTCTAAGAAATAAGGTATAGATAGAAAATATACAAAAAATATACATATACCAACTCAGAAGTAAGTTTAAAATAAAAAGGTACAGCTAAAGTAAACATCCAGGACAAAAATGTTAATTTTAGAATAAAATATAGGCCTACCCCTGCTATTATTTTATGTTGTAATAAATTCTTGTTCAAGAGTATTATATTATGTTTTTATCATTTAACAAAATTAGAAATATAATCAATATTATAAAACTAATATATTTTAATTGATATGTATAAAAGGTGTAAATATAAATATATAATTCTTTCTGGCTTCCCAAAATTTCCAAAAAATCATTATTTTATCTAAGAAAACAGCAATGTTATTGTAAATACTGACATTTTATGATTTTATTATAATTAAATATTATTTTCATCTGTTATACATGTATTTTTAATATTTATTTTAAACTTGTGATAATTTTAGATCTAAATATGCATTTAAAATCAATACCACTATGTGTTAACGGTATAATATACCAGGTAAAAAATGTTGATTACTGGACATTACGTAAAGTAAATATAAAAACACCAAGTGTGTTAGGTATTTTATCATTTTTATAATGCTGGTTTAAGAGGATAAAGCTATAAAGGTTCCATGTATATTACCCCAGTATATAAAACTAAGTTTTACTTAATATGAATCTTAACTGTGCTTCAAAATATTTTATACATAAAAAAAAACCTGCTGCATATTGCTAAATATGACAAATAAAAATAGAATATTTAAAAACCTTATGTGGATTCAGTATAAATGTATGTATTCCCATTCATAACCTTTCTATTTGATAAAATTATATACCTTTCATTTCAACCTTTTCCGGTTGTTCTGTTGTATTTTCTCTACAACAAACCTTTAAGCTCTCTTGCTTTTTCTTCACCTGCAATAGTTATTAATCTTATTTATAATGGTAGTTTTGTGGTTGTGATTCACGTTGATTTTATTACCTACTTATTTTAATATATCATACATATTCTTATAGAATTATTTACCAATTATTGTATATCATACACATTCTTATTGAATTATTTACCCATTATTGTATATCATATATTTACCTATTATTGGGTATCATAACACATTCTTTTAGAATTCTTTCTTGAATTTGTCTGCTCGACTTGCTTGTTCAATATTTAATAGCTGTCTAAAACTTAAAAATAATTTTGTGCAGGAATAGAAGCCAGGACTTTTAATCATTTGTAATACCTAACATATTTACCTAGGATGAGATCTCACAAAGCAACCAAAAACAAAAAGTTACCTGGCCCCTGTTTTAAGCTTACAAAATATTTTTATTTAAGGATTTAAGCCTTTATATTTGTAAAAAATTCTGTGAATGTATTAATGGAAATATTATTTAATCAAATTATTTCTCAATATTTTATTGAACACTGACATTATTTATATATATATTTTTTGAATAAAAAAATCATTTAACCGCATATTCCTTAATTTGATCATTTGAGGGTGTCCAGTGGCCTAAAAATGAAAGTAGACTTTCCTATGTGTAGTGAAATTGATGCTCCAAATTTCAATTTAGAAAACAGCTATTCATATCACTGATAACTGAAGATGATTTGTGGCACTACAGATGCTTATTATATTTTATTGGTTGATCTGTGGTCTTTGTAACGGGTGTGAAGATTCTTTGGTCTGAGCGTACACTGGATTACATATATCATCTCACTCAGTTAAAAAACAGTACTGGAAAACCCTGTTCCCAATTACTGCGACTCTTCAACTACCAAGAAAAATATTCACACTCAAGTGTGTAAAAGTACTAGGATGTATTCAGCCTTGAGTGCTAGCTGTTTATCACGAGTTAAATAGTGACCCCTAGCAACTGATTGAAAGAACAGCCATAAATATAGCAACCATCTTTCTTTTAGTCCTGAATAAACTTAATTGGTGTAGTTTTGACCCAGAGTTTGTGACGAGGAAATGAAATGGGGTTTAACGTCCTTCTGTTTTGCTCCTAAACTGGGCTAATGAAGACAGGCATACGCCATACAGTGTACTATGAGGGAAATTTTTCCCGGGCAGCGGCACCAAGGCCTACTCTTATATCGAATTCCAACTGCCAAGGGATCTTTTACGTGCATGCCAATTTGTACACAAGACCTCGGTTTATTGTTTGGTTTTTTTTTTCATTTTGAGCGAAGTCTGTATTACTACAGGCCCAGGGACTTTACAGCGCAGTGGATACTTACGGCTAGACCCCTGTATTCATTCATCTGATGCACTTGTGGTGTGTAGGATAAAACACCAGACTGAGGTTATGCTGGGGAAAGAAAGACTGAAGAAAATAACCAGAGAAAAAGTTTTTTTTTCTGAAGCCTTCTTCCCCAGCAAAACCAAAGTCGAGGGCCTTATCTTGCTTATAAATCGTCTATGTTTAAAAGTAGGTAAAATGAGAATACCCCAGAATTCCAGTAAGAAAAACCTTAAATCATGTTTTCTTATGGAAAAAAAAACAAACCTACCCTGGAAGAATAACCCCAAATTCTCCTGTATATATTCAAAGCCGCCCCGAATTTCAGACCGCAAGTTATTCTGGGCATAGAATATACCCCAAAGATCAAAGAGATTTACCGTTACAGGTTTATAAGTCTATAATTATGTCCTGTCCATAGTTTTGTCTTGTGAAATAGTTTGAGTGTGATGGGGTCCCCCTTCATTTACTACCATATGTTAGCCCTGTCTTACTCCAATGATATGAATATCAAAACATAAAATATGAGAAAAGTGTTGTTTTTTATATTTATTAACAGTTGAGACATAATATTCAGACATAATTATATAAAACAATCTATGGATGACAAACACTGAACACATGTATCCCAGTATACTATATTCAAACAAGATCACATTAAATGCTTTCCAGATAATAAAATATATAGTCTAATACCATTAAGTTCATCAAACTTGGGTCTGTTAAACTTTTTCTATTAAAAACTAAATTGCAGATAAGATCAATATTATATACATTGTGGTATCAAGTCATCTATCACAGTTAAAACTTTGAACAATTGATCACATCATGAACCATATAATACTAGTGTTAAAACAAAACAAATCCATTTCTTGAAATCGACTTCTTCCGCCTAAGACTTAAATCACATGAGAAATTAACATGGACAAGACAAACAGAAAGATAATAAGATAGAAAATAACAATCATGTATATTCATAAACCAGTGGGGCATCATATTTACAGAATTTTATAACTTAAATGACCTTGAATGTAACAAAAAAAAAATCTAATTAAAACTCTTTACAGTGGAAGGAAAGGTTTTCTGTATAGTTGGTCAATCTATATACATCAGGCATGATTTTTAATATGAACTCAACTTTGTTACATTTTGTTTTACCTCTCTTCAAATATAAAATCTCTCATTTCACGATCTCTGTTACTCGTTCTTGGCTGTGACTGCTTGGTTATCTCCGATTTTGAGGTTTCTATAGGTGGTAAATGGAAGTCTGTTGGTTCCATCATACTGAAGAAAAAGATAATTATTTTACATATTAATAACTTGTAGTTTATTTTCATTTTTTTCTACAAACCTTTCAGGATTCTTGGTATCTCATTCTTCAGTAAATAAAAGCACACTAAAGGGGGACAACTCTGTGGGAATAATGTTCAATTATTTTCAACTCCACCATTGAAGTTTAGTTAGAATTAAGGGCCAGTTAACATATTACAAACTCTATTCTTATTCTCTTTGAGGTCAGCCAGTAGTGTACATTTAATATGGCTAAAACAAACATCCACAGTGTCTTTTTAACATACTTAAAAAGGTGATAAGTCCAATAGATGTGCAATCATTCCATTTAAAAGAATTATTAAAAAATAAATCTGTCCTTTACTTACCCACTGGTAGTACAATGTGCAATATGAGTACCACACATTAGTAACCACGACGATACCATCTAATTAACCAAACAAAACCACACATTGTTAATAAAAACACATTATTCCATTGTCAAATATTTAGTTTTTAAAAATCTCTTTTCAACTGCTTTTCATCAAAGATCTACCTTCTTTATAACACTTTAATTATTTTGAACTTTTCTTTTCTATTACTTCTGTGTCATTTGAAACTGTTTATGGGTGTACAAATAATTCAAGCAAAGATAATGAAATTGACAGATAACTAACTAAAGACAGAGCTAAATGTTCACTATTGAGAGAAGATTGTAGAAATATGTTTATAGATCAATTGAATTAAATACACATTTTTATACAAGAGAAAACACCATGCCATGCTACATACACAAGACAATCAATGCTAAATGAAAATAAATGATAAGCATGCCATTCGGTATGAGAATAGGGAAACATGCAATTTTGTCTGAATATTCCAACTACAGAAATGAACTACAAGTAGTCTACAACCATAATAAAAATAATAAAATATTAAAACTTATTTGCAACAATTACAGACAACACACAAAGCAACAAAACAAAAGACAACCATTGACCTCATATTCTTTTAGTACCTCCCCCCCCCCTTCACTATTATTCATGAAGAAAAGGGCATTTCACAATATAACCACATAAGAACTCTTTTATATTTATAGCATTTACTTTTATTTTTCTAACAGGACAACTACTTGAAACATAGATATTAATAGTTATTCTTGGTATTTATAATCGACAAAGGGATCAGTATTAAGTAAACATCCAAACCGCCATGATCAACAGATGGGCTACAATTATCTGTTGGCAGGTAAAGACAGCAAACTTGTTAAGTTAAAGAATTAAATACTTTACCTCTCAGCACCAACCTCTTTAAAGTCTACTTGAAAACCTAAATTTCTTTCAAAGTCTCAATAAACAGATTCAAAAAGGTTGGTGCTGTTCTGAATATGATGAATTAAAAGGAATATTAGTAAAGTTAAAGTAAGCTAGGTTTAGTAGAAGTATTAGAAGAAAGCAGCAGGTTTTGTACACCCATACTTACAGAGCCACTTTTGTATTAAAGTCATCATTCGGACTATTTGGTAGTTGAAAATAATTCACTGGTTTCTGTGTTCCAGTTTTATCAGTATAATATTCTCTGTGTTTCTGTGAAAGCTGAAGAACATTTCAAATGTAAATAAGAAAATGGTTATATTAACTGATTTTATATGTACCGTACTAAAATAGAAGTTTGTTTAGATATTTTTTACATCATGATGCTTTATCATTCTGTTTCTCCCGTCTGTCAGCCCTAGAATAGGTATACAGCCTACTGTATTGAGGTGAATGTAAGCAATGACAAACAAGACTGGTATTTCAAGTTTCAACTGTGGCCAATGAAATCATCAATGTACCCAATTAATATACCCAGGAGTTGAACAGATGATTTCAGTGGGGATGCCATCATCCTGTAAAACCAACTAGTGATTAAATCTGTAAAAACAGGTCCCAGGTTCAACTAAAAAAATAAGAAAAATTTGTAAAATAAATATGTTTTATTTATATCAATTTACCTCATCAAATCTCCTTAATTCATCTCTTCTATCATGATCAACATTAGAAAGTTCGTATTTAGGAGCTAACAGCCATCTGTCACGATTACGACTTCTATTAGAGATTACCAGATCAGGATTATGTGTGTAATATGTAGGAAACTGTCCACCACGACAATAGGGATCTTTAGAACTATTCAAAACTTCTGATCGGTAGTCCTGAAAATATTTTTGTGTAGCATTTCCATATGTTTCTCCAAAATCATACTTCATTGTAGGGCAGTGACCTCTATATCTAAAAGTAAGAAAACAAAAGTAGGCATGTCATTACTTTACTAATATTCAGGGTCAAAATTTTTGATCAAATATAAGCTAGGGTCCGCTGAATTCAGCTCTTTTTTTCTTTTCTTTTATAGCCATTGACTAGTCTAAATATTTCCTCTTTCGTCTCAACTAAATTCAGGAATTACACAATGCCGCCAATCAAAGCAGAAAAAAATATGTCTCAATATCTGTAAGAAGAGAGTATATATCATTAAAATGTTACGCATGTATGATGTACATTTAGCCTTGGTTAGATAACAAACCTTAACCTCTCAACCCTCCGTGTTTCGAGATAAGACCATTACCTTCAATGTAGCACATGCGGGAGTGATTCGCACCCGGCATTTGTAAACAAAATTGACAATATTTTTAATCAAAACAACGATTGGTTATTGTTATTTATAATATTTCTGCCACACCCAACTACAATTAAGCATATAATCCTACCTGAAACGGGTACAAATCCCTTTTTCAAATCAAAGCGACAGTAGATTGATTTATCCGACATTTTAAATTTACGTCTGTAACACATAAAGGCGGGGCCTCGTGTGCAATAGCCAATCAAAGTAGACCTACCCATCGGATCAGAGTTGCGCAGTAGTAAAACGGCGTAATTATGAACGTCCGAATCAATTTTGATAAAAACAACGCTTGATTTACTTTATTTTCAATATTTGCTGATAAATGAATGTTGTTTCAGTAGATTCGACTGCGTATGTGTAATAGTACATAATAGTATAAAATTAACTTATTTTTAAGATGGTACATACATTAATAAAGAAATTGAGTTTGCCACTTGGAACTAAAGGCATCCAATCGTAGCTAAAAACAAGCACATCAGTGTATCTCGGCGTTTTTAGTTACGTTCTCGTAGCTAAGCCTTAAGGTTAGGTAAGGATCGTGAAATCTATATTGTGAGCATACTCGTGAGTCGTTACAGCACAGCGCTTTTCACTCACTTAGTCTAGGATTCAACAAATACTTACCCGGGCATAAACCGTGGAGAAATATAGGTAGCATTATTTGTGGTAATAAGAGTTCCTGCTGCACGCGACATTTTCGAAGTGATAGCTGGAAATACTTCAGTAATCTAGTTTGACAACTGTTTTCTATTTTACAACGTGTTAAGTTGTTTACATACAGTTCACTGCTTGTTACTAATGAGCGGCGTAAAGTAGGTCTCTAATTGAATGGTTTTATGTGGTTGAATCAAGCTGCATACTCGAGGATCTTCTGTTTATAATATACGGAACCAAACGCTTGATTGCTGTGCGCAAATTGGTTATATTTGTCGGATTACATATGCAAATATTAATTTTAGCGCATGAATATTATAGGACGCGTGTCTATGGTAACCGTAACAAAAGATAACTCTTAGTTGACTTAATTGGAGTTATCCCCCATAAGTCTTCCGCAGTTCTATAATAATAAAACAACTGGGCTCGGTAGTGGCAGACGCAGGATATTAAATTTGGTTTGAGAGTGTCATTGGTGATTTGTGGCGCTTATTTTAACCAGAATAAAAGGATTTTAAAGATGGCGAATTCAATTATTATTTTCTGCCATAAACAATGACATCTCCCGAGACGTCTGCTTAATTCGTGGTTTGTATGGGGTCTTTTGTTATGATTTTCTGACTATTTTTTGGCAAAATGAATCCAGAAGTTGCTGTTTATTAATACTTATAGGTTTATTTTAATACCACGTCAGGAACCATGCTATTAATCCGCTACATGGGTTATTTTCATAAAAACGTACAGATAACGGTAAAGACAAATTTTGAAAAGTAATTATGAATTTTTAAGAAAGTTTTCACTGTATTCTATAGATGTATAACTCGATCAAGAGACAAGAGAAAGTACGCTATATCATATGCAATAGCCATGCTGGACTCTTAAAACTATACAAAAATGTAACAAAACCAAAATTTGTAGAAATGTCTTTTCAGTTATTACCATGTAAAAGACCATGTTAACCGTAAAGACATAGCGGAAAAGACAAAAATTCAAAGTCCTTAATTTAACTCAAGTTGTCTCAATAATGTTTGAATACCATTAGAAAGCATAACAAGGCGTTTTCGCAATATAATTTTAACATTTTGTTATGTCTATCCCAATATAAGAAGTCTTTTCCGTTATTATTATTATTTATAACGGAAAAGACATACTTTGACTGTCTGCATTCATTCACATTGCATAGAGTGCTTTGACAACTTTATTTCCTCGTTTTCTGTGTGAAAAGCTCTCCATCAGTCATAGACCGGAGGTTCAGCGCCGGGGTGTGTCAATCAAATAGGCACATAACCAGACCCAACTTTTCTACAGTAAAATTTCGCGTAGAATACGATGCAGAGTGGTAATCAGTCCGCCGTTGGGGCGTTTTCGAGATATTCGGGGTCAAAGGTCCAATGAGTTCATTTGCACTGAAAGTGAATGCGCAGTTATTCTTGTATTATGAAAAGAAGCTGAAATTGATCGAAAGTAATCACTCTTCAATAAAAATGTAAACTTGCTAAATTCACCTTTAGTCTTAGTGACCCTGGAGGTCAAAAGGTGAAATTTACCGTTTTTGCACTAGGAAGATTTAAAGCAATAAAATGTCAACGTAAAATATAAAAACTAAAGCGAAACCTGTTCTAATTAATAATAGGAACATTTAAAATTTATCTTTAGGGAGTCTTAGCACCGAACTTTTACTTTATTTTCACAACGATTGTTATACATAATGATACTAGTTATCTGAAAAACAATTGAATAGTTTCAGTGTTGGACTCCAGGCCGCGTGGATTTCCGAGAATCCCAGTCTAGGAAAACCGACGTTAATCTGTGACGGGAAAACACGTATCTAACGAAGAGATTAAAAGTTTGCAAATTTTTTATGAGTTTTTATGATTTCACCGGAACATGGAAGCAGATAAAACCGACGAATGCATATAGTAGTTCACAGGATATATTATTATATGTCGTATTGGCAAATGTTAGTGGGGAAAATTTTGGCAGGCTTTGTGACGCGGCCTGCAGGCTGGAGTCCAGCCATGAAACTATTCAATTGTTTTTTTTCAGACAACTAGTATCATTATGTATAGCATTCGTTGTAAAACTAATTCGGAGAGATTTTGATTTAACAGTTTTTACGTATTTTTGAAACAGGTTCCGAAGCGTTTTGGTTCTGTTATGCAAGATCATTTTCGACGTTCCAAAGTAAAAGTTCGGTGCTAAGACCACCCAATAGCCCACACATTTGCTGTTGAGAGCGGGGTTCAACTGCGGGGAGGCGAAGGGAGGTGTTGGCGTCAATTTACCCACGACTGCTTATACTAGAAACACGTACCCGGGTATCTATTGTCTGTGGAAAAAAACTAGGACATTCAAGGATTCGTTGTTGCAAGTATATGGGAACACCGAATGGTGCGAAACTAAAGTAGAACTAAAATACAATTCAAGGTTTAATTAGTTAAAAAAAAAACTAACAATAACTATGTACATGGTTTATTTCTGAATAATTTCCTAAAGTTCTAACAAATGTCAAAAATGTTTAAATCATCTTAATGTAAAGATAACAACGGTATGTGTCATCTAAGGATGTCGCCATATCTCGACACTGTGAATATAATGTTAGTAAGTACTATTACATACATGTAATAACAATTACATCAGTCAAATGTAATAACCGATGACACAAATTCAGGATAACCCGTCTAAACTCGAGTGAAATTATACATCTTTTTAATGTTTGAATAGCATCCAAGAATACGAGTCACTCAAAACAACTAATTCCATAATATGTAATAAAAGATGTTTAGCTTAAAATTTTAACATTTGTTGCCAAATAGTATTGACGTGTTTCACAACGATATAAGAAACCAAGGCGCGGTTTGACTACATTATATTATAATTTGATTATTTTATACAATACAATTATAAATGAGGGGCTAGCGTTGTTTAGCATTTTTCATATTTTAGTGACACCGTTATTTCCAAACTCATAATCTTTTGAAGGGTTTGAAAATAATATCAACAAGGGTATCTAGATAATACGTTTCGACAACATGCATCTCATACTGTAGCAAACTACAGTTTATGAAAGATACATACTGCTAAAGGCAGGTCCACCGAGAAAATTTTTATGTGTCAGAGCAAGACATATATTGCCCACCCCCATATTACACCTTAGCAGGGCTACGCAAAAAAAAACCATATGGGTTTTAACTTTACTCATGCATAGTCAGAGCAGGGCATAGGATTTGGGGATCTAAAGCACGAATACCGGCCATGCTGACGTAAATAATATTAAATAGATATTTATGGGTCCCCCACAGGGAAACTTGTGCCTCGAAGCGATGTACCGGCTGCACTCTCTCATTCGGCCTGTTGAGATTAAAGTTTTTATGAAGTGATTTTTAACTAATACACCGATGCATAAAACATAGACATTGCATAACGTATAATTACCAGTGATAATTCACGCAATAATAATTGGTTTACAATTTAATAAATTCTATGACAAAGCAAATTTCCACAAATCAATGAACCCAATGATATAAGGTGCCTTTTATGTATAATGCCTATAAATAAACGTGGATTGATATATTACAGTTGAATTGTTCAGATAGTTCTACTAGGCATATATGCAAATTAGTATTGACATTACATATATACACGAATTCGACTCTTGGAGGGAGTTAAAAATTTAAAGGCCCGCTATGAGTTTTGATTCGCACAACAACAATCCTGGATTCTAAATCATTTCATAAAACATAATATATTATAGTTAACCGTAGTTAATTCCCGAGGACGACGGCACATTGTTTTAGACTTAACGTTGTAGATTTCATTACAGGTATCAAAGCAACATTTGCGACAGATTTGGGTCCTTACTGAATACGTGCCTGTTTTTATACACCATTATATACCCAAATAACCTCAAAGTGGACGTTATGCATCTTTTGAAGATATTAAGCTCACCAAAAACTAATCGTTTACTTTGCGATTAACAAATTCATATTCTAGATCAGACCCTGGAAACATTATATCTAACAGTAACACATTGGTCAATAAAGGGAGATCGTCGCTGAAAGATAAAAACAAAAAAAAAAAGAACAAAAAGTAAATGGTCTTGATTGTCAAGTAACATTGCCACGATAATAAACGAAATCTAGATTTTCCTCTTTAACGATAAACTATTTAATGGAGCCAATGTTCTAATCCATTCAATATTTCAAATCATCTGATGATCTATAGAGAGTCGATTATGGACTTGCCATGTGAATAAATGTATATAATAAATATATAATAATTTTTAGAACATTTGAAGCGAGAAAAAAGACCTGCAACAGGAAGATTTAGCTACATAATTTATCTTCAAATACATATCTCGCAAGTTGAGCTGTAAATTCTTTAGTTAACTCTAGATTATACATTCAACAAATACAATGTGTGTGACTTTATTTTACATGTACATTACACTATATGAATCATGTAAAAATTATCGACAATAAAATAACGGCAGGCAACTATAACACTTCCTTATAATTATTTTAACTTATGGCACTTGGTTGAATGCGTTAACTATATTACTCATAACAATGTGTCAAAATAATTATATTGCAAAAATAATATATTTGTTGATCTCGGGCCGTATTCAGTTAACTGCCTTAAACTTTAGTTTAAAGTCTTATTTTTTCCACCTAAATGAGAAAAATTAAATACTAAGGGGCGCATGCATCTAATTGGAATGCCAGTGTTAAACAAATAATGATTTTTCTCCACCACCCCCAGTCATTCTTGGTATCCGCAGTGGTATCGCTCCGTTCTACTCTAGTAACCTCTGGCTCCATCCACGGTGTTTTTACGAATTCACTAAAGTAATCAAAGTTACAATCGAATGCGAGTTACTTCCCTTCGCCCACTCGATTGATCGATAAAAATACAAGAAGTATCATGAGTGGATAATTTGACTATGTGCCCCCCCCCCCCCCCGGGGATGGACCCCGCGGTAAGTGGAGTAGAACGGAACGATACAACTGGGAATACCGAGAACCACCCAGCAGTAAATCTGACTGGATTTTCAATCGATAGAGGGATGAAATAAAGTATATGTTTCTGAAAAGCAGTGAAAATGCCCATGTTGCTTTTTGTAACACGGGAATATTTAATACATTATTAAGTAACTCAAGTTTAAGGCAGTTGATAGAAAACGGACCATTTATGGGTAGGTATATAGTGATATCATAAAAATTAAAATAATTATGAAGCTCATTTTGACCAGAACGGAAAATATGCAAAAAAACAATGCTGAATACACCAATTTTGATGCATATAATTAAACATGGGGTGAACTATGGCGAGCAGGCTCTTCCTATATTCAACAATCTTGGCGGTAAAAATATCGCCACCACTTTTACTGCTAACTTCGCAGAAAAACAAATACCCGAACATTGTGAAAACAACGGAATAATATGGAAAAAAACCCCTCCATTTTATAGGTGTCTAGAAGGACCATTGATGCTGTTTCGCCCGTATATGCCGGAAATGTCCTACGCAAGTTGGCAAACGCCCGAACGGGATTATGTCCAGATTCTTGGCACATCCCTTCAAACTAACAACACAAAATTAGACCACTACTATTTTCTGCCTCTCGATGTGTTATAAACAACAATAAGATTGAACGGATTTAAAGAATTTAAACAGCAGTTTTTAATTGATTTTACACGGTCTACAAACTTTCAAAACATTGATCCATCTCATTCACACAACTTGTGTTCTCAAACAGTCAATCTTGATTTGTACAACGATCGTTGTAAACAAAATATTTCCGAAAACGTTTAAAACTCTACAGGTTAATTGTCTATTTCTGGTAATAAATGACCAGGGGGTGGTAAAGGGGTAGGTGTTAAACCCTTTCTTCTCTTCAGTTCTTCTAATTTTTCCCTCAGTTTTGCTTCTTGTCTTTGTTTGTCCTTTGTCATGCTGTAAAGATAAATTAAAAAAATACATTATATATAAACTATCTAGAATAAGTTTCTACATTAATCTTAACCACAAATTAAGCATTTGTCCGGGGAACCGGTAATAATAAAAGGCATACACAACATTTGTTTACAAAGTTAGGTACCGAAAAATACCACGCCAAACACTTGTTTACAGAGTTAGGCCCTGGTGAAATGCCATGTAAAACATTTGTTTACAGACTTATGCTCCTATAAAATGTCCTGCGAAACATGAGATGAACTGACGGAAAGGATACCAGTGACAAATTAGGTGTTAGTAAATTTACCGACAATCCGATTAGTATGCCAATAAAAGGCAACTGCAACACATTTGTTTTCTGAGCAAGTGTACTCTGTATCTCTATATTTGGTGTACTGATAAATGACTCGATGCTAAATGTTTATATCCGGCGTAAGTGTACCGATAAACGACAGGATGCGTAATGTTTATATTCGATGTGCGTGTACTGATAAGCCACCCCATGTCAGATGTTATATTTGATGTACGTGTACTGATAAATGACACCATGTCAGATGTTTATATATCGATATACGTGTACTGATAAACGACTCATTGTCAAGTATGTATATACGATGTAAGTCTACTGATAAACGACTCCTAATCGATGTACGTGTACGGATAAAATCCTCAATGTACTGGTGTTTCGTTAAAGTGGTAATGGGTTGTATTCCATAGAATTATGCCCTGTGTCGAAATACTTTTAGCCTTTTTATCATACTACATGTTGAATATGAATATTGATTTAAAAATTATAACTGTTATTCTTGAATAATGCAGGAGGTTGGGTAGGCGAATTGTTAACGCGTGCGCTTTGGATCAGACGATCTGTCATTGAGTCATGTGATGTGGTTTCGATTCCCCGCTTGTACGTGACAAGGAGAAGGATCGCCTGTCCAACCTCGTGAGTCTTCTCCGGGTCCTACGGTTTCCTCTCACTGCTGCGCGCTAGCGAATTATTGAAATAAAATTGAACCATGTTAGTCGAGTGGACGCTAAACCCCATCTCTCTCTCTATCTCCCTCTCTCTCCCTCTCTCTCTCTCTCTCTCTCTTGGAATAATGCCCATTGTCTTACTCTTAATAACATAGCGTTTCAAATATAGAAGGCCACAATATAGTATGTTTAAGCTCCAATCAAAGACTGTTTCATAAATTAATAATAATATTTAAATGATTTTGTGAAAGATGTTTACTTTCGGTGTACGTAAAGTGACGTGACTCTTGGGAAATGTGTTTACATTTATTACATTTAGTGTAAAAAAAAGAAAAGAAATCTGCTTAACCCTAAGGCACACAGGATAATTCTAATAATAAACCTAAAATAAAAATCCCGTAAGAAATCAATTTATAAATAACCGACTCTTGCTCGTCTCTGATAAATCAAAATACCCCCCACCCCTTCCTAAGAAATTAATATATAAAATATATAAATAACCGACCCATATTCATCTCTGATCTGATAAATCTCTTAAAGATACTTTCCCATAAAAGTATTTATCGGGTGGTTATTTCCAATAACAGTGTAGAAATTTTGGTATACTTGTATATGGAAAGTAAAAATATCCAATCTTACTAGAATAATACTGGATTCCCTTAAAAACACCCATGGAACGTATACAGGACAAAAATGTAAGGGTTTCCCTAATCGGCAGCCTGACGATTAGGAATGTCTGCTCGCGTCACGTCAAAGGTATAGTCCAAATTCATCATCATATCACACAGTTTTACGCGAGAACGTATCTTTAAGTCTTCTTATACTGGAAAGGTATCCGGGTTACCCTACTACATACTGGAAAGGGATCCAGAACAAGAGTCAGTCTGTTGAACAGATTGGAGTGTGAACAGAATGATTTTCTTTTAAGTAGACATTCTTTCATAGGAAACAAAGTTCAATATGTTTTATCCCCATGAATATTTCACTGTATTTATAGTTCTTGAGCAGACTGCATTTCAAATCGATATTAACATCTAACAATTTAATATTTAATATGTTTTATATCTACAATTAGAGCGTTGATATAACAGGCTCGGATACAGGGAGGGGGTGGGCGGTAGGAATGTACCCCATTTTATATTTCTTTTTTATAAATTATATGACGCCATGACGCCATTAGTCAATCTCGACTCCCAGAGATAAGTTTACACGTTGTTTATCACTCGGCAATCCTCAGCAGATTCCAGTACCCTACATCTAGCTAGATGTAGAGTAACGGAATCTGCCGAGGTTGTCGAGTGGTTGTTTATCTGTGGGAAAACTCGCCGGCCATACGTCGGCCATTTTGAATGTTACGTGATGTATCCTTCCGTCGGTCGCTTCACAAAGATCCAAGATAGCGACTCAAACTCGCGCCGCTTCTTCAGAAATTTCGGGTATTTAGCCGAATCACTCATACTGCGCGCTTAAAATAGTTATCGGTAAATCATCAAATCGGCTGTTTTCGAATGAACTTTTGATATCAAGATGTGGAAAATGTTCCAAGGGCCATTAAAATGTAACCCATGTAACGAACCGAGGGTAAACTTATTTCTGGGAACTGAGATTGCCCATTATTAACGCCGTTTACAAAACATCTATTATCAAATTACACTCATCGTTTTATTTGTCAATTGGGGGGTTGGATGGCTTAGTGGTTAGCACGTGCGCGCTGTATCATTAAGTCTGTCATTGAGTCAACTGGCGTGGTTTCGAATCCCCGGTTGTACGTGACAAGGAGTAGGGTCGCCTGTCCAACCTCGTGGGTTTTTCCCGGGTCCTCCGGTTTCCTCCCACTGCTAAAGACCCCTACGCGCAAGCGAATTATTGAAATAAAATTGGACCATATGTAAGTCCCGAAATGACCTAGTTTGTGTCGAGTGGACTTTAAACCCCATTTCTCTCTCTCTCTCTCTCTCTCTCTCTCTCTCTCTCTCTTTATTTGTCAATTATGTATTAATTTGTTATATCCCAATTTCTGTAGTTTTTATCCACCTTTATGGTTTTCGTTTTACTTTGTTTCCCCCACTGCAATAAACTACACGCCTTTGTCGACTTTGCCAAATTGCCATACGATTTTTTTACTAAAACAAATCCCTAGAAAAGGCGCCCCATGCTTTAGATTTGCACCCCACCAACTACTGTCTTAAAGATCCCCTATCAGCTCGTAATACAATAGCCTATATAAAATCAACCAACGTATTGTTGTTACAGGACACCATTATCATGACAAGGCGAGTTTTATAACTACAAAAAAATCTATGTGAAGATTGATTGTTAAACAGTACCTAACAAGAATACCAACCCATAAAACAATACTTCGCGATTCTCTTGTTGTCAATGATCTATTTACCGACGAAAATTGGAAACTGAAATACGATTTTATCTTATCAATTATTTATTAGGTTAAAGTAATGGTGTCAAAATTCTATCACGTTTCATCCAAGTCAATTTTAATTAAATTTCTTTTTTATAATTTTCACCAAAGTCAATTTTAATTTCCACCCAAGTCATTTGTATTTTGTTGGTTTTTTTTTTAAATTTTCACCCAAGTCATTTGTAATATAATTCGTTTTTTAAATTATAATTTTCACCCAAGTCATTTTTAATATAATTTGTTTTCGATAGTTTTCACTGAAGTCAATTTCAATTTCCACCCAAATCATTTGTAATATTTTTTTAATTTCCACCCAAGTCATTTGTAATATAATGATGGGCCATTTTACCCACACAGCGGCGGTCCCGAGTTTTCTCCGGGTACTCCAGTTTCATCCTACTACTGAAGACCTCTACGCACAAACTGACTATTGAAATGAAAATTTTAGTCATATCATGATATTCCTGAAATGACTTAGTTTGTGTCGAGTGGATGTTATGGCCACAAATCTCGATTCATGTATCTGGTGAGAATTTCCCTGGGGAGATTTGCCATATAAATATATTCGTGAAATAAACGAATTTTGTGAAAATCTCCAAAAAATAAACCAAATGGAAGCACCAACTTCAGTTGAATGCCCCAAGTTCAAGAAAGGGGACCCAAAGTCCTAGAAAAGGGAACCCCTGTGTCCAGTAAGAAAAGGGCCCCTTTGAATTCGTGGCAAGGCTCTCTTGTAAGGTCAAGAGACATGCGTGTGACCCATCATTCACTAGTGCACATAGGCTAAGTTGTTTTTTGTTATCTCTTTTTAACACACTGTGCGCTGAATTCGATGTCTGGATGTTCGTTAGCGTTGGCTATGATGGGTGCATGCTGATATCAATACCCAGATCCCTAGTACACATTGGCGTACATGTAAAATAACTTTTGAAATAATTGACATTTCATATAAGTGCCGCTATCAGAACAAACTTTCCCTTCTGCCTTCTGGCTTACTGCATTCATTAGCCCGATCGGAGCAGAACAGTAGGACGTTAAACCCCCATTTCATTTCGTTTCACTGTCAGATTCCGACTACGGTGTGTCGACCCTGCACATTTATTCCCCCCCACCCCGGTACTTTCAAGACCAGCAACGGGATTTTGAAGAAGAATAGGCGGGACCGCTGCTGTCCGGGCAAAATGGCCCATCATTATATTACAAATGACTTGGGTGGAAATTAATAATAGTAAAAAAGACAACAAATTATATTGAGTGAAAATTAAAATTGACTTGGGAGAAAACTATTAAATAACAATTATATCAAAATTGACTTGGGTAGGTATTATAAAATCAAATCATATTACAAATGAGTTGGGTGGGAATTAAAATTGACTTGAGTGAAAACTATCAAAAACAAATTATATTCAAATTGACTTGGGTGAAAAAAAAAAATTATATTACAAATGACTTGGGTGAAAATTTAAAAAAAAATATATATTACAAATGACTTGGGTGGAAATTGAAATTGACTTGGGTGAAAATTATAACAAACAAATTAAATTAAAATTGACTTGGGTGAAAACTATAAAAAACAAATTATATTACAAATGACTTGGATGGAAATTAAAATTGACTTTGGTGAAACATATAAAAAACAAATTATATTACAAATGACTTGGGTGGAAATTAAAATTGACTTGGGTAAAAATTATAAAAAAACAAATTATATTAAAATTGACTTGGGTGAATATTAAAAAAAGATAAATGATATTATTTTTCATGTCCCTTATCAGCCAGCGTAATATTATTCTATACAGACAGATATAACAAAACTAGAACATTCCCATAAGAATATCTTTTTTTAAAAAAAAATGGAATAATAAGATTGCATCTCGTTCTATTCAATAGCTAATAAAAGATCTCTCATGCATGTTGAATTACCTTTGAAAGTAACGATCTATATAGACTTCAAAGTCGTTCTTTAGAAAGAAAACAATGGTTTAAGAAAACATAATATCGACCACTTATCCTATTCTATATTTGTAATATTACTGCACATAATCGACCGAATACTCATAGTTAATTTTGAATTTCGTCACGCAGAAAGGATCTTTTAACTATAGTCGCGGAAACGTGAACTAAGTAAACAAATAAATTGCAGGAATTATGAAAAGGATGTCATTCGTGACGGAATTTTAGATTACGTTATAGGTATGATTCATCAACCATTAGTAACTGGGGATTGCTACATACAGGGGTGTGGTAACCGCTGATTTTCTACAGGAACAAGATCTCGTGGTGGTGGAGGATTGCACAGAAACCTTATATTTATATCATTAGGGGCGGGTGGTGATACCCTCCACCCAGCGCCAAGACATTTTGGGCTGTGTGGCTATGATGGATGTGTCATATCGGAGCCACGGTATATATTTGACACTGGTTGAGCAATATGATTATTAAAGCAATGACATCAGAATCTGTCAATAGCATGGACTACCAATAGCACAAAAAACGTAATGAGACCAGGGGCGGATCCCCCCCCCCCCCCTGCTCAGCTACATAAATTTTTTTGTAAATCAACACTTTTTATGAGAAAGGTTTCTCGGTCGTGTGCTTTATCCATTATCGTCAGATTTGGGACAGGATGGGCACTCAAAGCACGAGATAATGATATAGACATTACGTGATATCACAATTAATGCTTTGCATCCATGAAATTGAATCACAATGTCATTGTATTAATTCATAATAAAAATTGACGTCAAACGAGGTATTGGATTTCTCTGTTTAAAAAGCTTAATGTGTATGTATATACGCCAAAATGACGATAGAGACCATGCGGGAGGGGGGGGGGGATACATTGTCTCAGGAACATGACCCCCCCCCCCCCCTGCAAAAATTCCTGGATCTGCCCCTGGAAACTAAGTGATTTCTTTTCCATTTGGCGATACAGTATTATAATACCATGGCACCGAGAATATAATCCTGTTAATCGTCAAATAAGGCCCCCAATCTTAATTAATTACTTGCAGAATGATATAGAGAAAATACAGATCGTATTGTGCTTAAGACTTTATATTTTACTATGATTGATTTGTGCCTAAGGCGCTGGCTCAGTAACCAGGAAGCCTAAGCGGATAAGGGGTGCTGGGTTAGCTTTACGTTGTTTCGCCTAAAATTGATGTGTAGATGGTTGTTTCGGCCCAGTAGAATATAACTCTTTTGAAAGCGTTATTTACCTGGATCCCAGACCACGGTTGTTTGTCCCACTGACTTGAATATTTAATTTCCCTCTGTGCGAGGGTTGGAACTTTTTGATATCGATATAAGCTACATACAAATTTTAACCTGCTATTGTGCAGACACGTGATAAAATTTTGGAAGTAGCCTTCAGGACATACCCAAAAATAACTCGGTCCACATCATCCACTGGTTATGGCGGTTTGCATAGTTATTGAGTGGCTTAAAATTTTCCTTGAGAACTATTGGAAATTTTAAACTTGAGCTAAGACTGGCATGGTGATCAACTAATTTTCTATGTAGCGTAATTCCCAATGAAACCTTCAACAAAAATAATACTACTATTATATAAGATCATTTAGACAGTTATTAAATCAATAACACGGCGTATGTGTCTACTATCAAATTGAAATGCATTATGTAAGATTTAGATAAAGAGCTGACAGTTTAAATATAATAGTTTAAAAATAGATAATGATAAAGGTTTATATTGACACTCCCGGAAATTTAAAATGAATTCGTTTGCTCTTATATATGACTAATATGCCTTTAAAAATAGTTATGTTTCAGCCGTATGATCAAAATTGAAGGAAAAGGAAATTCGAAAATTGGCTTCCATCTTGCTCTGCTCATTTACAAGGGCAATTAAATTTTAACCCGCAAACGTTTTCCTAAAAGGTAAAAAAAAAATGCACGTTTTCTAAGAATACCGTAATTCTGAGCCAGTCGGATAATTATTACCCAGTTTATACGCTAAAAGCTAGATCTAGGACGGAAGATAATTTAAGTGAATTTATGTTTGATATGTATAGACAGCTGATTAATACATATATGTTATCACGAAGTTTCAAGAAAATATTTTGAAAACTAAAACGTTTTCTAAAAATGCCACATTCCTACACTTTGCTCTTAAACAGAACTATAGTCTTAAAAAACAAAATTCTGAATCATTTTACCCAATACATTTATTCAAATTTAAATAAGACCTAACCTTTACAAAAAATTACATATTTCGGCGGAGAGTCCGCATGGTTCTGACATGTGCCGATTTTTCAAAATACTTTAATCTTTAACTTTAAGTCATTTTTCTGCGAAATAAGCAAGGTGGAAACAGAAAAAAAACCCAAATTAACCCGAACGAAAACAATATTGTTTCACACAAGAATCACAGTGTGAAACCCTAATGCACCCAATTTGTAAAGTACCTGCGATATGCAAGTGTTCCATTTAACGCATGCCTAGTCGTAATGTTTATGTTCTGAGAAAGTGACCATGTCAAAATATATGAAATTTACAAGAGAATACTGGATTTTATCGGACTTCTAGTCATTTAGGCTAAGGGAAGAAACCAAGGGGGTGAAAATTCCAGGTATGTCACAAAGTTTTAGCCATTCGAGTCGGAGTATCAACTGGAACAGACAGTAATTAATAATTTATATTTAATAGAAAGACCCGCAATAGGCAGATTTAGCTCTTAACTGAATAAGTAGATACAGTTGATGGCTTACCCCTTGTAAAACACATCAACATAAGAAAGAAAATTATTGATTAAATACATCAATGTTAAAGAATACTTTTTACAAAAACAAAAACAAAACAGTGATGTGGTTCATTCATGAACTATTTTAACCAGCATATGTCAATCAGTATAGTAAAGTAATGGGTTAACTACTACTAATTGCTCAAAATGACACGATTATCGCTGAATGAAAGTAGTTAAGAATGGCTAAGCGATACAGTACATTAGACACAGTTGTATATGCTTACAAGAGAGATTTTATTGAGTGAGGAGTATTGTTTATGAACCTTTAGGAAAATATTGATGATAATATCAATGGATTATTCAGCACATTAATCTACACATAATCCGTTACATGTTAATGTACAATTTATGTTTTTTTTATATATAATTAGTATCAGTATGTAAAATATAAGGTTTGTTATGATTAGTATCAGTATGTAGAATATAAGGTTTGTTATGATTTAATATCAGCATGTAGAATATAAATTTTGTTATGATTTAGTATCAGCATGTAGAATATAAGATTTGTTATGCTTAGTATTCGTGTGTAGAGTATAAGGTTTGTTATGCTTAGTATCAGCATGTAGAATATAAGTTTTGTTATGATTAGTATCAACATGTGGAATATAAGATTTGTTATGGTTTAGTATCAGTATGTAGAATATAAATTTTGTTATGATTTAGTATCAGCATGTAGAATATAAGATTTGTTATGGTTTAATATCAGTATTAGTATGTAGAATATAAGATTTGTTGTTATTAGTATTGGCTTTTAGATGATTATGATTATGTAGAACTTTAAGTACGCGAGTACGCATGACCTTAAAAGGTTTACAGGAGATACCTATTCGTTAAAGCCTTGGTATTCTTCATAAGAAATAACTTACAGTTTATCCATTTTAAGTGCTTCTTCTAATAGTTCCATAGCTCTAGCAGTTCGTTCTTGTTGTCTTAACCTCCTTTGTTCACGTCTCTGTTCCAGTCTCTCGGCTTGTCGAGCTCTTTCTTCAGCTCTTTGTGCATCAGCTTTATCTAAGTTTCTTAAAATAGCTTTGGTCTCCTGTTAAAATAAAAAAAAGAATTGAACGATCGTGATTAATTATTAATGTATTAAAACACCGCTTCAAATTGGGCTGACAGCATCAACAACTGGTCTCCTACAGGTACTTCTATAACAGCCCCCCCCCACCCGAACGACCCATCCCGTGTCATAAACAACAGGATATATTTAATATTTTATTAGATTATACTACACTTTTTGCCTTTGTCACACATATTCAAAAACTAAACATGCAAGAGCTAAATCTGCCTATTGCAGGTCTTTCTTTAGGCCTGAAATGTTATCTAAATTATTAATTAGACATTAATTAACTTATCCAGACCATAATCAACCCTCGATGTCAACGCTAGCCTGCGATATTTACTGGATTAGGATCCCATTTGCTGCTCAACTTACATTCATGATTTAATCATGAAATGGATAATCGAGAGTATGTTTTTTATCGTACCGACTTCAGTAATGGTGATCGAGGCTAGGCCCAAAATTTAGTCGCTAAAATCCCGGTTCAGAGTGGTTCAATTTGACTGAAATTTTCAGCAAATTCCCTTTACATTATCTAGTTTTTAACTATTATAGTGAGAACTGCCAGCTCCTTATCTAATCTCTCATAATGTATCTTAAGGACGACATAAAGCGCTCTCTACAGGTGGATTATATAATTATTGAAATCCATTCATTATTGTCACTGTTTAAAGACTTGAACAACTGGTTATCTTACCTCTTCCAATGTTTTAGTTAATGGAGGGGTGTTAGGTAGACTCTGTGTTCCGTCTCTCATAGATTTTTTACCGGGTAATGGAGATCGACAATAATCAGCCAAGGTACCAGCACTCATAGAACTTGCACTCCTCTCTGAATCAGATATTGCCATTCTTTTATTCCGTCGATGTTGACGTATACTGACGGAATTTTCATCATTGTATGAATTTTTAGTACCGTTTCTTGATTTACTGCGACCCTCCTCGAGACGTCTTTGCTCTGAAAATCAAAAATATATTTTTTGCCCGAATATAAACAAGGTGCGGTGTAAGCAGTATAAATGAAATGAAATGGGGTTTAACTCCATTCTTTTCTGAACCAACTGAGTTAATGAAGAGGGACCCACGTCGAGCAGTGGCTTATGAGTAAAATTTTGCCTGGACAGAAGTGCTACGGCCCAGTCTTATTTTGAATTCCAATTTTCAAGGATTTGTTTTTTACGTGCACACACACATAACCTCGGTTACTGTCCCATCCTTCAGGTTTGACGCTGTACCACTGATGAGGGAACTACGCCTTGTGGGTATTGCTTTATACAGTTATACATTGTACATCTCTTTAATAACTTTACGGTAATATGTTAAGCTGCACGTGTGACGTTGCACTGTTGGACAGCTTTCGCGGAATAGTAGGGAAGACAGCGTTCGTCGTCTGTCGCCGTTTGTCGGCCTTTATCTTATATATCATGTGTGTCATGAACTGTTGATAACTGGTAATCTGTTTGTAAGATATTTGATATCATTATAATATACTTTCTCATTTGATGACGATGTTGTTGATGTTGTTTGTTCGGCCAAAACCCTACAGCCTGAAAATCCCACCGCGGGCGCCTTACTCAATGGAGTCACCCGGTGATGGTATTTTATTTACACACCGTTTGATGAACCATAGTTATTCCTGTATAATGACCACCAAATTGGTCACAGACTACAAGTTAAGAAATATAAACTTACCAAACATTCGGGAAGCTGCTCTTAACTGATCTGAATCATCTTTATAACTTAAGGCAGTTTGTTGCATTTCGAACCGACAGTCTTCAATGATATCTATAATAAGTTCCGATTCCTGCTCATATAATTCCGATACCGTTTCCAAAAACAGTTTCTACAATTAGAAAATAAATAACTCATTAGCAATGTAAAAATCTGCCCACTTTACATATTGTATAATTCAATGCTTTCAACTATCATTCTGTTATTAACGTGCATATTTTAAAAATGTTAAAATAGTTAACATGACTGAAACACTTTTTGATGTTAAAATAGTTAACATGACTGAAACACCTTTTGATGTCAAAACAGTAGACGTGATTGGAACAATTTTTGATGTTAAAATAGCAGACATGATTGGAACAATGTTTGATGTTAAAATAGCAGACATGGTTGAAACCATTTTTGATATTAAATTGCCGACATGATTGGAACAATTTTTTATGTTAAAATAGTAAATATGACTGTACAATTATTTAAAATGCCAAATCAGTAAACATAATTGTAATACTGTTTACTGCAAAAATAGTAAACGTGTTTGGAACATCTGTTTTGGTGATAAAATAGTAAATATGTTTGGAATACTTATGTTGGTGATAAAATAGTTAACATGATTGGAATACTTGTGTTGGTGATAAAATAGTTAACATGATTGGAACATTTGTTTTGGTGATAAAATAGTTAACATGATTGGAATATTTGTGCTAGTGATAAAATAGTAAACATGTTTGAATCAGTTGTTTTGGAGATAAAATAGTTAACATGATTGGAATATTTGTGTTGGTGATAAAATAGTAAACATGTTTGAATCAGTTGTTTTGGAGATAAAATAGTTAACATGGTTGGAACACTTGTTTTGGTGATAAAATAGTAAACATGGCTGGAACACTCGTTTTATTGATGAACTAGTATAAACATGGTTGGAACACTCGTTTTTGTTGATGAACTAGTATAAACATGGTTGGAACACTCGTTTGGTGATAAAATAGAAATAGTAAAAATGATCGGAAAACTGTCTGAATACACCAAACAAATTAAGTTGAATTTGACCCTTTGATCTGTGATATGTGCATGACCTGTGACATATAGCTAACAGTATTAAAGCAAATATTATACAGAGCTGGGTGTGTGAGAGGTGCGGGATAATGCATCTTTAGAGTCCATACATCTCCACCAATTACTGTCAAACCACAATAAGAAATACGTTGATGCAAAATACACATTTTATGATTTCTTTATAAATTATTAATATTTAAATGGAAGCATGAATACGAATGTTCACTTCATGTGATAAACAATGGGTCAGCCAATTTGTAAACATTAGTTTTATACAGTATTTACCGTGACACATTTAAATTATTTATCGAAAATATTTATATTGCCATCGGAATTTTCATTAAAACAATATTGCTCTTACATACTGCTTTTTGTCATAATATTTTCCTTTGCTTTATTGCCATTATTTTATATATTTCAATTGAAATATAACTAATAAAACCACTACTGTTTTTAACTACTATTTATTTTTCTGTTATAAAAAGAGTCTGTATTTAACAATATACACGTAGAACTAAACCACAAAAGAAAACTCAACAATTGAACACGCGGTTCAAGATCTAGTTTTCATACGAGAAATGTGGTGATTTATAGGATTCAATAACTTTGTAGATGACCATAATATAGTTAGAAATGGTTCCACTACTGATGTAAAAAAACCTGAATACATATAAAATAACATAATCATTTGAAAAATTGACCTATGTTTCAAACAGCGATGATGTTCCTGATGCAGTTCTAAGACACGTAAGACGCAACATTGGGGGCTGGTGAGGTGATGGGGGAGAGTGCTATACACCTGTAATCTGTGGAGTATATCACTTTATAAATCACACACGAACTACATGTATAATGAATGTAAGAACATTATACATGTAGACAGTATGAATGTAAGGACATTATACATGTAGACAGTATGAATGTAAGGACATTTTCAGTAGCTATACTCGGCCAGAAATGGTATTATACTCGGCCAGAAATGGTATTATACTCGGCCAGAAATGGTATTATACCATTTCTTGCCGAGTATAGCTACTGAAAAATTATACCATTTCTGGTCGAGTATAGCTACTGAAAATGTCCTTACATTCATACTGTCTACATGTATAATGTTCTGACATTCATTATGTCTACCCATTCATGCATAATGTCCTTACATTCATGCTGTCTACATATATATGTATAATGTCTACAGATATATGTATAATGTCTACATATATATGTATAATGTCCTTACATTCATCCTGTCTACAGATGCTTGTATAAGAGCGAAGGAATCCGTATCAAAGTCGTCTTTAAACTCCATTTTATAACTCGCGTGTTTAATTCAGTCGTATTAACACACACATATTTTACATTTTAGAGGTTCAGTCCACTGTCGTTGTTCCATGCATATTCTTGATATGATCCCATCATCATTTAAAATCTAATTAAAACGATTGCATGCTCGGAAATTTCTCTTCGAAGTGATAAGAGCAATTGTAGTTCAAATAAAAAATAGCATTCCCTGTGGTAGACGTCAACGGTTACAATGTAAATTATTGTATTGAGAGCATGTTATTATCACAGCATAAACGAAAATAGCCAACCGAAAACACATTCATTCGGTGCGCAGCGAAATCCAAAATCACTGGGCTAATTCTGTACAATATTTGTCCCTCAATAAATAACATTGCGTATACGACACAGTTTAAAACACAGATATATGATTAGAACAGAACTATTCCCAACTATATCATCTCTTACATATAGATAGATATACCAGCTTTCTATACGAATAAATTCGGTTCCGTGACAAGCTTAATTAGAATGATAGAGTATATTAAATATTTATATATCTATTAGTAAAAGTGTTGTAGTAATATGTATATCGTGTATATACAGATTTGTTAGATGATTAGACAATCATGGTTAATCGCAGGTAAGACCTCTTACGTGATGTAATTTTTCTATAAATAGCGAATCAGACCGGAAATGGAAAGATTGCAAAATCATATTCTAAAACAGGAAGAAGATTCGGCTCTGCGATATCACTTCTGTGGAAGCAGACGTTAAAGCACCAGATCGTAGTAATCGTTGTTACTTATCTTCTATGTCACCCTAGGTAGAAGCGGACGTTAAGCCCCACTGACTAACTGAATTGTCGTTATCCCAATTGTATTTCATGTATAGTCGTTTAAAACATAAATTGAGAATATCGAATTGCACTTTGGTTTTATTTAAATAAATAAGTGATCTGAACTGTTGAATTTGACACCGTTCTTTTTTGCGATTAACTGATTCTAAATCAAAACATTTTGTCGTATTACTCTGTAATTAACCCTTTGAGGTGAAGGTTACTTTCAATTCTTCCCACAAAACGACTTTGGCAGGGCATTTTTTAATAAAGTAAGTACTGCTTAGCGGGGCAACAACGATGATGGCTAACGAAAATCGCGACCTTTTGCTACCATTTTGAGTGATTGGAAGTGGCATATTATTGGTAAAATCACACCTATCAATCAAAGTACAGGGCGTTCACTTCCAAACCCCCATCTAAGGTTGTCGAAATACAAAGAGTTTCTCTACCAAAACTCTCTATGCCCAAGTGTTTCAGATTGTTTAAAAATGTCTGACCTTAGGTCGTAAATGTATCTCAAAATGTGTCTTTCAATTTTGCAGAGTTAAAACATCTGCTATATATAAATCTGCTCGAATGCGTCTCAATCCAGCCACTGGTTAACGCTTAGCCGATGTTCATCTCCGATTAACACACGGTTCAGTCATTCATGAGCAGGATTTCATGTGTTTTTTATATTACATACAGGGATCGAACTTCTGTTCGTTTGTACAAAGAAACCAATGAATAAATACTATAGCAGTAAAATGTATTGTTGAGTGCGATGGGGGTGGCCGAGGCTTACCACCGAGAGAACTTTGACATTCTGACTTTTTTTGAAAGGAATAAAATTTGCTGTCAATAATCATCTAATAATTTCTTATTTATTTACACATGGCTGATTTCAAATCAGATCATTTTTACTGAACTGAACCAATGCTATGATGTATACCCAGGCATGTCGCAATAAAAAAGTTCTATGTTTGTTATTTTTAGACATGAATAATACAACTGTAAAATTACCCGAGAATACCTTAGTTAACGGTAATTATTGCATATTATTAACTTAGAAACGTGGAACGTGAGTACTAGAGCAAGAATAATGCCTCTATATTTTACAAGAAATATCTATACGAAACTAATAAATTTATGACTGATAATCACGATATAATGTTGTTAGAACTATAATACGTCTATACACAATGTAATATATTATTTATGAATGTGTTAAAGGATATTCAACCAATCGTTGATCTATAATTACTAGACATAATTAAAGACATTTTCCTCCGAGAACCAGTAGACCGCCCAATGCCACATCAACTTATTTGCAGATTTCGTGGTGCTAATGCAAAAGTACAACTAAAATTTAATAAACAACATCTAATCGAGTTTATTTAGAAAGAAGGATATTATAATCTTTCTGGCCTCTCGAATAAATTGTCTCGTTTACGAATCTCGGAGTGACAGTATTTAATGATGAAATTGACAATTGCTATTGAACAATTTTGTCCGGCATGACACAACTAGGTCCCCAGGACGTCCAAGGGAGAAACCACTATTTTGCAATATTGGATCGTGCGAGTTATCCAACTTGCACATTATGTTTACACGCTTGAGACAGAAAGACAACGAGGTTAAAATAACTTCATATATCTATTTTGTATTTAGTGAAAAAAAATAAAAAAATAAAATACAGTTACTGATTATTGCGTTATTATCGTTGTTACAAAAAGAGATAAACCTATGTGCAACGCCGAGTAACACAGCTAATAATTGTAGAAGTCAGAAGTCAAGACTTGAGATTCAAAGGAATACACCTTTAATAATAACGATATCTTTTAAGGGGTGATTGATTATTTACTAGAATTATTATTTGCATAGGTCCTAGATTGTTAATTGGCGTTAGTGGATATAAAAGAGAGGTGATATCATGCTTACTATCTTCATTACAAATAAGA